CTGTCTAACAGAGGTTCGCATTGTTCCTTTTTTTAAATAATGTTTACTATAGTTTTGAATCGAACCATTAAGCCTGAGGCCACCCTTCATGGTATCTCCAAGAGAGGTTATTCTAGAATGTATGTGAGGTAGTTTAAGAGATCTACATAGTCTAAGGATTAAGTGTTCTCAATTCCAGCTCAATTAATTGTGTTTATTGTTGGCAGCATACAAAGTCAGCTTCGTGTTTAGTTTTGAAAACAGTCATGACACTCCGATGTTGTCAAAAACAGAGATAACTGTAACTGACTGACAAACATGAAATGAAACAGATTTAATGTGTTTGACAATATTCATATATATTAGATGACATTTATTTAATTCATAGGTTTATTGAAAAAACTATTTGTGATAGAATCTTGCATTTAATTCCGTGCACGGCATGTTGTGATATGTTGAGGGTAAAGCATTTCAAATGCATTATATAAAATACAATGCAAAAGCATTAAGTGAATGATAAAGATTAAAAAAATCAGAATTGGTGAAAATAAAGCACTAGTTTGAGTCCATATCTGCCTACATTCTTTATTTCTGTATGTGTCAGGATATTAAAGCCCGTTACACTGGCGACCTGGAAACCGCTCGGAAAACGAATTTTGGCACACTCTATCAATGGTCCTACAGGGGTTTAAAACACACAAAAGCGATCATCGGATGGAAGGTCCATCAGCATATCATCATATATCCTCTCTCCCATCCAGCCTTTTTCTGTCCCTGTGTAGGTTCGTATTAAATTCGAACTTATTCTTAGTGAAAACAGCTAAGGGTGCAATCTGTTAAGAGTGTGGTACATTTAAGTGCTGAAAGAAAGTATTGGATATGTGATAATTTTTCTTATAGTAAAACGTTTTCCCTTATAATAGTTGGAAGAAATAAACCTCACTCCAGTTATGTGCCTCTTGATACATGGTATGTAGAGTAGGGATATAAAAAGAATACATTTTTCAGTTAGGGTTATTGCATTTGAGTAACAAGACATTTTGTCTTTACCGTATAAAAAGGTGCACCATAAAGATAAGTTATGCTTAGGCTAGCAATTATGAATTATTCAACACTGTAAAAAGTAGCATTTAAATGCATATGCAAGAGAGAGAGAGAGAGAGAGAGAGAGAGAGAGAGAGAGAGATCATGACTAATAACAAATATTTTGATTCTCCCAATTGACACTGACATGTATAGAGTGTTTATGTCTTTCTGATTCAAAACTTCTATTTCATATATTATCATAACCATTTTGGTTGAACTTTTTTCCTGGCCAATGTACGAATCATATAGTTCAAGTTCAAGTGCCCCATGCGCTAAAGGGATACATCTAGAGCCAAGCAGTGACCTTCAAAAAAATCAGTTTTGTAACTCTTTGACAGTCATACGCCATGTACCGGATGCACGTGTATGGTCGAAATCTTCAAATCTTTGAGTTGACTGCTGTATTGAAAGGAACACAAAGAAAAGTTTGTCAGCATCATCATCATCATCATTAGCGTCATCATCTGCCACTCTGTTCCGAGTCACTGAAAGCAACCTTAATGATATCAATAAATTGGGTTTTACCTTATATGTGTTATCTGAAAGTTGAGAAATAATGAGAAGCAAAGAAGGAGGTCATGTCGAATGTCATCAATCATTCCCAGAAACAAAAAACTAACCACTCGGCTGCACAAAGGTAGTAATTAATACAGCGGGGCTTATGTATTTCAGTGGCCTTTAATTTCAAGGAATTGGGGCAATAAACGAAGAAGTACTGGTACATGTACATGTAGGCAAAATACAGTGTCGTTGCAACAGATGAAAATCAATAATGAAAGCCAATGGTATCAAAACAATTTCATTGCCAAATCCTATCACGGGATATCGATGTGGAATGGAAAGACTGAAGTATTTCTATACAACTTGGAGTTTTATGGTTGCAACATTCTTTAAGAATGGTAAGATTGAATGTAATACTTGGCAAAAATGAAAATATTGTATTGGCAGAACGACTTAATTCGAGTAAATGTATTATCAATCTCGAAAATTGATAACAGTGATATCGTTTAGTTTGAATAGGACGCCTTAGGGGACCGAATGGTTTTCCTTAGAAGCTTTGTAATTTACAACGACACGAAAAATAAATCTTATTAATGTTAAAGCAATATTGTTTATAGTCTACCCACCACTCCATGGGTCTTATATAGATATTATATTGCGCTATTAAGTGAACACCAAGATCTGTCATTTATTGTTTTTCTGGTGCATATGTTGAAGGTGCTTAGTTTTATTAACCTCAATTTTTTAAATTTCATTATAATCTTTTTTTTTTGCTTGATTTACCCAAATATATCGTTTTATTACTATACTTCCTACACCTTTACCATTATTTTGTTGTCTTCTGTGTCCTTTCAAGAAAACCCAATTATCTTTTAAAATATCATTGAGATTCTGGTGGCGTATCTCTGCTAACTTAAATTGCTATATTAATCAACTAAAAAGCACAATTTTCATCTCAGTTTCGTCTTGATTAATTCAATAACACAGTCAGCTAATCATGTAAAAACGATTCTCATTTATTCAGATTTCATAAATTCATCGGTAAAATGACTAATTGATACAAGTTGAATTGCATGTAAATTTGATATCTTCACGTTGTAAACTGGTTCATGAAGAAGTGACAGGAAAAAGAACCGTGGTTTCTAGAAGGAGGTTGATTTATTACCATGTTTCCCGAAGCAGGGAAGCATCATTCGTCTACATCAATTATATGTATATAATTTGATAGGTTTAAAAGATCCCCATTCAGAATCAATTTGTTTCCAAATGCAAAAAACAAAAAATCATTTTGTTTTCCACAGAAGTTTTTTTTTCTATGAGCGGTAAATACCGTTTGTGTTATGGCAAATAACATCGAAATTTAAAAAAAGTTGCAAAATTACATAGTTTCAGTGTCTTGCTTCGTTCAAAAAGAAAGGCGGCTGGTAGGCGTCGGTCCTTCAATAGGTCCTTTCATTAACATGCTTTGTCACCACTAAGAGCTGAACTGGCTCTGTGACCACAGTGCGCGATGTAATAGCTGGGGTTATGTAAGCTTATGACTTACATTATCTAGAGGCCATGATTCAATAAACGTGTTTAATAATAGGCTAATTAAACTGATTGCTATAACATAATCGCTTGACGATACATATATAATTTGGTCAGTTTTCTCTTATAATAATGCTGTATGTTTTTAAAAAATTAAGGGAATATTCGACATTTGTATTAAGCAACCAAATAATTTGAGATCAAGATTTTGTGAAAAGTCTCAAGTATCCGAGGGTCAATTCACATTTCATGGCTATTACAGTATATCTATCGACACAACAAGGCGGTGTTGACGCATGCTACATGATTAAAACTATAAATCACTTTATTTGCCGTGGAGTGGGCGCTGTTCGATAGCGTACTCATCTTTCATATTTATGCCCCTGATGTCCTCGGTGTTGCGCCGCTATCTCATAACTTGTGTTGGATACAGGCAGTTCTGTGGGGACCAATGAGAAGCCCCCCTGGATGCGATTAGACTCCGGCTCTTGCATCGAGACCCCTGCTCCGGGGTCCTGTGGGATACCGCATCCAGTAGAAAAAATGCCATTAAGGCCATCTGGTACGCCATTAGCTTCGTCTACCGTGTAATTGGGATGCGCTCGGTATCATACGTATCTATTGCAAATGCATTTTAATTTAGGTATGGAAAGAAAAAAGATTATGCTGTTTGGGGTAAGTCTTTCCTTTAGCAAGCGTACTTGTGACAACTCACAGGTAAAAGAAGACAATTAAGGAGAGAAGCTTTAGTAAGAAAAACAGCCGACGATTCCATGTATTTCAGTGGATTTTTAAACATCAGCAAGTTGAGTAATTAAGTCGTCAAAAACCTTTGCCTGTTTTGCCTGGTGTGAATATATCATTAATTGTGGTTCCCTGGATACATGTGACGCGTTTCATTATATTGGATTTACCGAGTTGGGCAATTAGTTAAAAGGTAACTTCAACTCGACTAACTGGCAAGGTTTTTAATTTGGATAATTGTTTGTGAACGTGGTCCAAGATCAACGCCTTGATGATGACGTTAAACCACTGGTCGCTTTAGGAACATGCAGAGAAGCCACAACCAGTCTCACGTTGGCCAAGAATGGTCAGTAATCACAGAGTAATCGGGTCTTATAAGTTCTTCATGCTCTACAGAATACGAAATGGAGGAAACCTACCAACGGTATGCTGTCTTCGCTTACTGGGGGAAAGATGCAAACGCGCGTTATTTTGATTACAAACGCTCCGGTAAGATTTTCTTTCCTTCCATGCGTTGAAAACACTACATTCTTGTTGAGTAGCACAAAAATATAGAAGAGAACGTCAAGAAAATATAGGTGCCATATGGTCTATGATATAAAAACCAGTTTCGTTACGCTGTCAGCATATTAAACTGACGTGGTACATGTAGCTTGTCCTCTTTCGTAACTAAACATTTGCAACATTATTTCTATCAAATTTGCGGAGTCCTGCCCTGGCGTACATTACAAGCGGTGATTATTTCTGTGCTTTTGACCAAAATTGCCTGTTGCAGTGCCTGTTTGGTTTCAGGAAAAACATTATGTGTGTTATTTTGTGTTCGTTAAACAGAGAATGTGCGCCTTTTCTGCGGATGTTTACTGTGAAAAAAGGCAACCCTCGAAGATCTTAAGTGACAAAAAAAAAAAAAAAAGTTACATTATAATCATGGCGTTTTTATCTTCAGCTGCAGACATGTATTATGGGTAGAAGATTGCAGTATTTGTTAACGTTATGAATTTTTTCTACAGCAATAAATCCCAGTGTTGGATTGCAAAAAGGATCATTGTATATGTGTTATCTTGAACTTTGTGAAATTCCAGGACTGATATTTTTATCAAACTTATATATGTATCAACACCTTATTAATGTAAAACCATCTCTACCTTTTTTTCTTTCAGATTATCTGCAAGTTCCCAAGGGTAACACCAAGTAGTGGATTGACACAACAATTGGAATTCATTTAAAAAGTGATCACTCAGTTTAATTTCAACTTCAAGCATGGACACCTGAGAAATTCCTTCATCCCGTGTGCATCTTTATCGTAATGTAATATGCAAAGTCAATATGGCGCGCAAGATGGACGTTTGTTAACAGACGTTGACCTCTAGACGTATCAAAACTTACTTGCTTACTTGCGTTGCCAGTAGCCACATAATATACTTGCCATCCTGGCTGCATACTTCACAGACTGCAATGGAGGACTACATAAATACCACTTTCTTCACAGCAGATAACTCCACGAACAACACGGACTCTGAAGATTCCTACAGTGAAACGGCGTTACATGTGGCCGTCGGTGTGGTGTTCTCTTTAATAACAATATGTGGTTTTGTCGGCAACGTTTTGGTGCTTGTAGTCGTCGCTGTCAACCAACAAATGCGGAATACCACCAATATTTTGATAATGAACTTAGCGGTGGCTGACTTATCTTTTATCATTCTCTGTGTCCCTTTCACCGCACTTTCATATATCTATAGCTATTGGCCATTTGGGAAACTTTTCTGCAGTTTAATGTATTATGTGGTTCATGTCACTGCGTGGGCCAGTGTATGGACACTCGTACTTATGTCTCTTGACCGCTACCTGGCTGTAGTTCACGCCGTGAAGTCTATGACCATTCGGACCCAAAAGAACACCATCATAGCCATCGCGATTCTGTGGGCCATTATTCTAGCTGTGAACATACCGTCATTTCTTCAGTACAACTTGAAATACTACGAGTACGAGGGAGAAGAAAGGGCAAGATGCGCGGATTGGACACTTCAGCTGTCTCCAAACGTTCCTACAGAAACAGAGGCTTTTTACTGGTGCTTCTTTATATTTGCCTACGCAGTTCCTCTGCTTATTGTGTGCACGCTTTACTTTCTCATGCTCCGCCGCTTGCTATGCGGTCGCTCCGTGGGGACTCGGTCTGCGGAATCCACCCGTGCCAAGAAGAAGGTGACCAGGATGGTGGTGGTCGTGGTGGTCATCTTCGCTCTGTGCTGGCTGCCGATCCAGATTTTATTCCTGGTACGGCTGAAGTCGGTTCCCGAAGGGAGCAACTTTACCTTGCAATTAGTGTTTCTAGTTTGGCAGATCATCGGGATATGCCTGGCCTACATGAATAGTTGCGTTAATCCAATTCTCTACGCATTTTTCTCACAGAACTTCCGAAAAGCATTCGCTAAAATCATCTGTTGTGGACGAGCGCCCGTGTCTCTCAGAGTGGAATTTGAACGGACAAGTTTTCATCGCAATGACTTAAATGACGAGGCGAGACAACAACTTAACATTGATTGCCAGAAAGACAATGGGACCTGTACAAATGGCAGGACCTATGTGACCGGCGTTGAAGACGAGGGACTGTAGTAAGCATCAGTTCAGATAATGTTCAAGAATTGAACTTTCAGAAAATGGCCATTACTCTTTGAACCGTGAGAAGTAAGTGTCCTTGTGTGTTAACCTATAACGGTTGCAATAGTCGTAAGAGACGAGATGTTTTCATTTTGAAAGAAAGTAACTGCTCATCATACGCGCCAAAAGGTGTATGGATTCCATTCAGTGGAAAGAAAGTGCAATCAGCCTTCTCTTGATCAGCATTACGAAAACTGTTATCTGCAAGGAGAGGTAAATTTTATGAAAAACATTTTACGTGGTGCTACGTAATGAAGTGAAATGTTACCTCATGGAGTGCCGGAGACACACTTTTGTGAATAAACCCAACTTGAAATAAACTTTAAACGTATCATGCGTGTGCAGGGCGAGAAGCTAATTCTGTGTGGGTGAATAGGCCCTACATTAAACGTAACAATCCATCTGTGTGACTGTGCAACGCGCAGTAACTATAACAAGATGGAATATATGCGTTCCTATTCACCGACTGCCTCAGTCAGGCAGGCATTTTCTTTGTTTGTTTGTACGTGATTAGGAATATTAACTGTTTGGATGAGGTACTTCACCATGATAATATACATGATTATATGTGTCTGAATATATGGGCATAGTGGAACTGGAATTGCTACAGATTACGCAAACAGTCACCTTCCACATAGCCAAACAGACAAGTAAGAGTTGCCAGGGACAATGGGACTTTAAAAAAGATTTTAAAGTATGTTTGCCCAGACGTTATGAGTGATGTGTACTACATGTCGTCTCTGAGAAGTGTAGATGATCGAGGACGTAGACTTTTATTTTTTCCTCATTGAAACTAATAATTATACATGTATTCACCGGTGGACACAAGTAGGTTTTTTGTTCTCTCCATTTAGTTATTCAAAACACAGCTTCCAAAAACGTTCACTTTGGCCAATGGGAAGATTCAGCATGGATTTTAGTAATCTTTTTTATTTAAAGTAAACCTAATACTGGTCCTACAGTAGTCAACAACTGAATTGATTTTGTTTACTTTTTTGGATACATTGGGATGTGGTTCCAAAAAAAATTGCTAATCAACTCAGATATTACGAGATAGATAGGCAATAGGATAGAGAGTAGTTAATGCTGAACCTGGACCATTCAGTTCTTCAAGATGCATGTCATTAAAAACATGAATTGTCGTCAGAAAATAGATACTTTTTATGTGTAAATGAGTTTAGGCAGAACAAACCTGTCTTAAAATCCCATGTACATTTAACAGTGTATGGTTAAAATTGTCATGCAAATAATTTTTGATGTAATTGCACACTATTTAACGATGTTGAAGCAAGGATGTTAACCCTATACCCAGCAAACACAAAACGTTTAACAACGTTACCATAACGTTGCCATTTTTGGTTATATAAACATTATGGTAACGTTTTAATAACGTTCTGTGTTTGCTGGTTTAGCGCCCAACCCCCAAAGCAATTCAGAACGCCTACCAGTACTGAAACCCCTGGTACTTGGTCACGTGTGAGCAAATAGGGCATGGGTCTCAGAACTATCTAGAACAAAATACTAAATTGTAGTCTATTACTTTTCAATACTACTTTGAGAACTTGGGGAGGGGGGGGGGAGGAACCATCACAGTGCTGTGGAGCAACTCTCTGAAAATAAGGTTTAAATCATGAAGATATATACACATATTTCAGAGAACGTCAGGCACTAACTTGAGCAGTTTTAATTTTAGTAAAAGATAATACGTCCAAAATATTTTCCATAGGCAGACGAAGAGTATCGCTTGGTTCATATCACACAGTAGAATTCTAATACAATTATATCCTTGTTTTCCGTTTCCACGGGCTTATTCTATAAAGACATGCTGCTCATTAGCCAGCCTAAGTTGTAAGACGTTTGTGTTTAGGTAGATTGAAAATTAGTGTTTCATAACGTTCATCTAGACACACTGCCGCCAAACGTTGAGCAGAGGTAATACGGAAATGAGGTATGGTGTGCCTAAAGTAAGAATATCGGTTAATCTCGAAGAGATTTGCTGCTGGTAGCTGGTATTTAATCTAATCAATGTAATTGTATTATACTGTGGAAAGGTTGCCATGAGATGGGCGATAAACAGAGTAATTGTCTTATGATAGAAATATTTAGTCTTAGTAATTCAATCTTCACATGTTGGTATATTGCCCATTATACTCAGCGTTTATATGTAGAATATTATACATAGAAATGCACCTGTTTGTTAGCACAAGTCGAGACATCAAATGGGGTTATATTGTAATACGGTGTATATGAGTAAAGAGACATGTATGTTGGAAGTTTGCGTTGTGAGTCTTACAGACATGGTTTAAAGCGATCGTACGTGGGATTTTTTCAACGTAACTATAACTCTTTTCTTTGTGGGCAGCACGTGCTACTTATATCACAAAAGTGACGCATCCTTTACAATAATATCCCTGTTCAAAGGCCACCAGGCAATATCATTCAAAGCATTTCTTACACCAAACCCCCTCACACGAACACGTCATAAAAAGCATCTTAACACGTCGATTTATAAATAAACGTAGTTCATTTACGGCGGATGTGGTAAAGTAACAGAACGGCACCCTTAACGATGGCAAGTGACGGGTTTTCTCTAAGTTAGAAGACTTCATTTTCCATTTTCCTACACGAAGTACAACAAAATGGATAAACATGCATTGGCATTGAGAGAAAATGCAATGTACTGTCGCAAATTAACCAAGATAATTACTCCAACGAGTATTGCAACGTGATGAAGATAAATTAATGGGTAATAATTGTTTTAGGGAGTCAATTGACAGGTAACAGCAACTTGCCATTGTTGCAGGAAGTTTCCCTTTCAATGAATGATGAACGGCGACCCATAATACAAACAGGAAATTTTGCCAATGAGGCATAATGGTGTTATTGCATAGAAAGAAGTAATTAATTAAATGGATGCAGAGCTTAATCTGTATAGTCATGTAGACCTGATTACCCAATCCCTCCATTTTGGCACCAAGAGAGTTTGATCCGTCACACGGTTCAACGCTGATCAGATCATTTGATTTGACATAAACCATTACTTATCAAAATATCTATAGAATAAGCCAAACAAAGAAAAACAATACTCAAAACGTGAGAAATCCATATCCTTAATTGTCATGACACGCAGACGACATCAAGAACGATATTCCTAACCTATAACATTTGGTAACGGCATTTGATCTCCGAACAAAAGACGCCATGAGTGGTTCAAGTTTCACATAAGGAACTACAGTATATCTTAAAGCCATACGTGTTTTTAAAAAAGTCTCAAAGTCATACGACCTGTAAAAGCTACTTATCTTCCTCTAACACTAACCCTAACCCAAACCTTAACCCTAACCCCTAAACCCTAACCCTAATCTGATGTGGATATTTGGTTGTGAAATGTACAGGAAGAAGTGGTGGTTATATTGTGTCTGGCCAGACATTTAGAACTGAATTTTTAAATTAGAATTCAACATTGAATCCAAGTGCAGTGACAGGCCAAGCAATGCATATATAGGTTCATGTGTTGGAGAAAATTGCTTATTTTCTCGAGGGAAATTTCGATTGGGCGCAAAAATCTCGGATAGAATACCTTTAACTTCAGTGGCCTCGCCTAAGGTGAGACGACACCTGTGACGTTGACATTATTCCATATGAAGGATGCACGTAACCTTTGGTCAACTTTGAAATATGGTTCAGAAAGATAAACGCCATTTGATAATAACAACCTCACTGCAAGACGCGAGGAAAAAAGAAGCGAAGATCTTTTCTTACGTTATGAGTCAATTACCCTTCATGCGTTTCAAGGAAATTAGAAAGAAAATATATCAAGTATTTTCTATCAAAAGCAGTCTGACAAAGAGACATTTTTCAACGGTATACTTTTCATTTTGTAAAATAGATCGATAACGACACTGGTTTGAAGAGTATGATTGCCCTAATTAACTTTATTAAAATTGATAACTGTTTATTATCCATGATCTATGGCAGAAAATAATGGAGTTCCTCACAAACATCTATGGCCAACTGAGGATATGCGATTGAAATTATCAGTAAGAAACCCGTTTCACTTCTGTTCAAAGACAAGACCGTACAGCCATGCGCCACGCCCCTCGCTGCAGATTTCAGTGTGCTGCCAGAACCTCGCTCACGTTTTACTACTGCTCAGCATTTGCTCACAGTCGCCAGTAAAATTCTGGATAGGCCTTAGGTATTCTGATCATAGAGATGAGGTTGTGTATTAAGTTCAGGGAGACGCATCTAGAATATGGATTTCATCTTTTTAAAAAGTCCTATTCCTACAATTGGCCAATCATTAAGGCTGATAAAACCTTAGCATGTGGCACGTTAATTTAATGATTTTCCTAATTACACAAATTACGTGGAACACACTTGGGACCCCCTCCCCTAACAGAGAAAGAAAGCCCGTTAGTTTAGTCGGAATCCCGCCTACTGCCAACCCAAATGCCAATCAAAAGTTATTGTTTTTACTTATTTCCTTTCAGCTGTTTTCGTAACCAAGCCATACATTCCAGATCCACATGAGATCGTTTGCACTAACAAAAATAATTGACTCACCTGGAAAATACACGAAGCGTGCAAGCTACGCTTAATCTTTATATATATTAGTATATTGGACATATCATCGAGATACTTTGGTTTCAATTTTACCTGTCTAGAAAATGAGAAAAACGCATTATCGCTTTCACGACTATCAAAATAAGACTGGTTGTGGCCATCAATCTTGAGCTTCATTATATACTAGAATAAACCATCTGCATCACTGGACAGGTATGCGCAGTCAACTCATCAATACACAGGCTAAAACTTTTTTGAAACTGAGAACAGTTTTCCCTTATAATTGCTGACAGCTAAAATTTAAATGCTGAACGGATATCTGCTTCTTCCGAGCATGTCAAGAAGCCAGGTGCCAGTGCACTGTCTGGGTCAACTCTAAACAGAATATTTGACAATAGACAATGTGCATCGGTCTCTTCTGTGAGCCAAAATACTTCTGAATTATAGCCTTTTATAACAATGTTTCACAAATTCAAATGTCATGGAAGGCGTTTTATTTGACTTTTTTACTTACTACCTATTCTCATACATGTAATACAATTTCCCTTATAGCCACTGTGATTAGAAAGCTGTAACAACTACTAAGGTCCCCACTGGTTCCAAATGACATTTTTAAAGAAAACAATTCAACGAACAATAATCAGTTCACCGTGTGCCAATAGATAGAATCCATCTTTCAAACCAACAGTTGTTAAGAATATATTTAACCGGTTATCGCGTTTATTTACAACAAAGATATCATCATTAGTCTCCGATATCAATCAGTCCCTTGAGTTCCCCTGCTCCTTGTTTCTATCTCCAAATTAGGCATAACTTGCACGTTGGTCGATATACTGTACATAGAATGGGTAATTAGTTCACAAGACGCTACAGATGTCTTAATGTTGTTTTATGAAGGAAAAGATCGAATTTATGTTCATTGAAGTTGACAGAGCGTACCATCCACTGTTAACTAGCTGGTAATTGTAAGGGACGTGTTTGCTGTAGGTTTTGCTTAAATATTCAACATTACAATAAATATCATCTTCCCCCGTTGTTATGTTTCGTCTATCCCAAAAGGTCAGGCAACAGTTGCATGAAAATGAAACAATAAAAAAGGATAAAGTCGGCAGCCTAACCTCCAAACTGAATCCCAATATGGATCAATAACGAAAGAAAAAACGAAGGGAAATGCCATTTTGCTCTGCTTTTGTTCTCATGGTGTGCGCTTTTTAGCCTCTATATTTGAGGAAATCGCTGTGAAACTTTTTGATATGAAGGAAATGGGCATAAAAGCTTTGTCATTCAGATAATTCTGCCCTTTTAAAATACAATTTCCTTGTACTCTACCTTGCATTTGGTCCACCTCTTTTTAAAATCTGGGCGAAGGTGATGCACTTCGACCGGGGAACAAGCGACAAAGGAGAGAAGGATATCAGGGATGTGGTTTTACAAAGCTATGACGTGGGCCGCACAAATCAAATGATGCAGTATTATGCACGTTCCTGAAATCCAACCGTAAAACTGGGCATTAAATGACAAATTTCGGGAAATGAACAGCCATAAATATGTTAGATAGGTTACAAACACAATTAATGATAGTTTTCGACTCTGTGCAATATAAAGTGGTAATGGGTTTTATTAGCAAAGCCTAATACAATCGATTTTAACCACAGACGGGTATATCCAGATTTCTGTACAATTTCCATTTCTTTCATGCAGCAGAATTATTAACTGGTATATCAGCTACGTATGCGACTACATGTTTCACACAAATTAACACGTGAACCATTATTTTTCTTCGGTTTTTTAGACTACGGGTGGCCTTACGGGATTTACTTGAGAGACAGACAGAAACAGCATTTATTGTGGTACGTTTTTTCATTTGACAACCGGTGTATCATCAATATATATATATATACATGTATATATGTTTGCATCCTGGTAATATAAATCCAACCTCCTTGTTCTTTTCCTGATTAAGTTTTATATTGGTTTCTCTGTCCATATTTGCCTTTTCTTGTAAATGTTGATATTACAAGGTTTAATATCATAACAGTCCAGGCACACTATCCTATGTTATCACAGTTAACCTCGTAAAACATTCATTCCATCATTGTCATTTCTTTTTCAATCAAACAGGTTTCTCTAAAAATTATCCCATCAATGAATGACATTCTTTTAACTCTAAGAAATCGACCCCTGCTGTTCAATATAGCATCAGAATGCCACATTCGTGCAACAGACCAACTGAAAACTAAGAGAAATTTACCGAAGAGAGTAGGGAGTGAGAAACAGTAGCAATTCTTTGCATAAATAAAAAAATTCTCGCCCAATTTTTGTGAAACACAAGTAACATATACCTCTGTGTATTACGTTAATTCGTACAACCAGCGCTAATTATGACGCAGATTAGTAAAAGAAGATTAGGATGTGTTAATTAGAGTAGCGTGAATTTCAGTTTTCTTTTTCTGATCAATACTTTGGCTGCGAGAACACGGAGTTGAGCCAGTGCGTGTGACCAAAAATGTTTTCTTTAAACAAGACCAAAAAATTCCAATAGGTATTTACATGCATAAAAATAGGAGATTTTATAGAGTCCTTTGAAAAAATATTTTTCTCTCTGCGATCAGTGTACCTATTGAATGATATCTAATTAGTTCATGACACTCATATACGCCAGCTCCCTGCCAAGATAAATCCCTAGTAATGAAAAAGCACTATTTTGCACAAGATCTTAAACATTTTGATAAATGTTCCATATGGATGTCTAAAAACAGTTCTACATCTGCAGTACTCAAATGACTTTTTAAACATCACTATTTTACACTCTAGTTTTTATTTTAGCATTGATCAATAAACAATATTCAAGCTACGAAACTTGCCAATTCTTTGAGTAATGCAAAATAGTTGATTAGAATTGTGTAACCTGTATAACAGATTGACAGGTCACATCTACATTTATGCCATTGCAAGTCAATTTTGTTCAGCATATTTAAAGGGTGACAATGACAATATCTCGCCTTAAAACCCAAGGGAGAACTTAGTTAATTTTGTGGATGTGGAGTTTTGGGCGCAAACAAAAGGATATCGCGTTGGAATCGTAAAATTACAGCCTGGTAGGCCTATTACCTTACCAAAAGAGAATATTGCCAGTATCTTTTCTGAAGGACAGAAGCAAAAACGCTCTAAAGCCCTAGTTTCCAGAGGATCAGTCAAGAGCAGATTTCAGATCCCTGGCCTGGACCAAAGAGTACTAAAAACTTTTTGACCTATTAGAGGAAGAACCGTCGCTAGGAATGGACCCGACAACTTCACTGCCACTAAATGCGTCACTGGAAGCATGCCTAGTTTTCAAATAAAGCAAGATTTCTTTTCCGTGGTGTTGTTGGCAGACTCAATGTTTCATGTCAAGTTCAGTAGAGATTAGCTTAAGACTTTGAAGTGGGAACTGTCCAACTGTGGGGTGCCATTCCTTATGGAGGTCGAACCAATTTGGTGATAATCATAAAAAGTGTAGCTGCCAATGTGCATATGCAAATTCTTGCGACAAAAATGGTGCCATATGCTATTAAAGTCCGTTTTGGTCGTAATTTTCAGTTTCGACATGACAATGCTCTACCTCATAGTGCTTGGAAAACACAACAATTTTAAAGACCAGGAATTTGAATAAGAAGTACGGCCTGCTTTTTCTCTTGGCATGAATACCAATACAATAGACCACAACTGGGATGCTCAAGACCGCGTTGTGAAGAGCAGAGTTCCAGTCGGCTACTCTGGATGAGCTGGGACAGGCTCTTGTCGAGATGTGGACATCGAAGAATAGATGGCATCATCCGGGTTCGTGGCAGCTACCCAAAATACTAACCCTGTGATTAAATTCGTAATGGCACAGCATTGTCTTTGTCGTTGAGTCTGCTACTCCTCTCTCGTCGATGTATCCTAGAACATGACGTATGCATTTTCCTATAAATTGCAGTTAATTTTTCCAAACTTACAAACGAGCACCAAAATATATATATACTGCAACAGGTAGAACAAGAAATTAAAACACTTATGAGCTGGATGAATGACGATTTTTGCCTAAGTTTGAACTTGCAGATGCAACATTCTGTTGGAATATTTCATCAATTTAACAAGTTAAGTGTAAAGATGAAAAGGGATAATCCTCATTTTGGCAACCTCAGATGATCCAAAAGTGACCAAGGGGTCAGTCGGTCAATAAAGCTTTCAGCCATGGGAATTGTAGATATTAATTGAAACGACTTGATACATAATTAGTAACATCAGCTGTTAGTGAGTTTAGCACTGCATATATCGTAACTGTCGATGGCAGTTTTCCAGCATGAATTCATACAAATCATGAAGAGAGCATAATACAGCGGGGACGAAAGAGAGGGTGTTGTCTGATAATTTGAACGAGTCGCTGATGGTCAGAACCCGATGACTAAACACATGGAGGTTTCAAAATGAAGTAGCTGGTACGCATCGAATCTGAACCTCAGGGTAAATTCCGCGGGAATTGTGTGAACGGATGTTGGAAAACATCACTGACATTGCGCGATGGTCTTTGTTAAACCTATCGACAACTGATGAGCTTTTCCATCAATAGTTAAGCAAAGGAGGCGGGAAGGGCTGAAGAAATGCGTCAAGTAAGACACTGGATTCCTTAGTTCCGTAGAAGGGCACATTACATAGTTAACTCTTCTGAGATTTGCGGTATGCGATCAGACGCGGCAAGTAGGGAAATTGCTACTGAAAAAGAGTTGTAACAAGAATTAAGAAAATTCTCAAACCCTTAAGAAACCAAAAGGTTAAGGAAGTTATATTAACTTTATTTATTTGAATACTTTTATATCATGCACCAGTCTTCTTGTTTTGTTCATGTGCACTACAATGTCGATGAAGACAGACATTACAATATATTTACAACAGCAACAAGTTATGAACACTTTTTCGGCAACCCTAAACGGTCTATTTGGTATTTACATTATTTTCCTACTTGCTACATGAATTAACAGTTAATACGTAAGATGTATGCAATTACCACAGAAAGACACTTGAAAAAGTTCAGAGTAAATGTGTTTGTGTTTACAGTTGTACATAGAGCTGGGACCTCCGGAATCTATAGGGTGAAAACACATCTAACACAATTAAATGTTATTCTCATCTGGCACAATCAATTCCTATATTCCAGGCATCTCAATTATCTATTCCCACTGTTAAATACCAAAGCAATGGTAGTTTGTGAGTCTATATAGTCTCACTTGTCGTTAAACTGTTTTTGTAAACTGGTGTTGCTGACAAAAATTTGCAAACCTTTTTCTTTTTAAGAAAACATTGACAAAGGCAAGTTATCTCTCCTACAATGATGATGAAAATGAGCAAAAAGCTGGCATACAAGAAAATAACAAATGTCATTCATTTACATGATGTATATTTCATATAGCATCAAATAAATGAATCACAGTAGTCACATGAGTTTTGTTACATTTCACTGTGATATAACATGGAACAAAACCATGTTCACAACAACCTGTGTAATCAAGATGCTCTTTTGACTTCACATATGAAATAAGGATCTAAATCTATCATTTTCACTACACTTCTTCCATATCCTTCTCTTTTTCCTTGGGTCTTTTTTCATTGGGAGATCCTGTACTGGGGGTATTCTGAAGAGGCTTTTTTGATGAATAAAACATTTCTAATGGCTTGTTCACTTTCCAGTATTTTTCATTGACTTGCTCCAAGGTCAGGGCTCCAGAGAGGAGGACGTGGGAGCCAGGAGTAGGGGAGATGTATATCGTGTAGTTTTTATCCCCAGAATCCTCTGTGGAAGTACCTGAATTGGTCAAATATAATTTGATTGCATGTCATTTCCAAAGGTATGAATACACCACATAAATTTTAAAATGGGTAAAATATGTACAATTATTTCAAATAATTATATGATAACATTCACACACATATGCACAGAGGCACTAAAAATGTTACTGGTGTTCAAAAGAACATCAAAATAACAAATATCATAACACATGCACACCACAAACACACACAAGAAGCACAATAAATTAAACTGGTACTCATCAAATAACACTCATCACAGAACACATTTGGGCAAAACACCAAATTCATCTTACCTGGTTCTCTTGCCTGTCTTTCCAAGGCAAGTCTCATGTACAAATATTTGGCCAAGTGATCAACTGAAACAAAAAACACAAACTGTATGTATTCAAGAGTAATATCATGAAACAAAATTAACCTGACCAGATGAATTTATGAGTTGAATATCTTCTTGGATAATGGTATATTTTATGCAGAAAACATACACAACATCATCATTATTATTATTAAATATATATTTGTACTTTTTTATTTTTATTTATTTATTAATTCTTTTTTTTTTTCTTTTTTTTTGGGGGGGGGGATATAAGACCACATATTTACCAGATGCATTTGCTGTTGTTTTAATATATCTAGTGTACGCAGCTATGTCCTCTATTTCATCCATAGGATGTGGCTTGAAGACCAGCTCAATTTCACTGACGGGAGGGGCTACAAGCTCAACTGTTCCTGGAAAACAATTCAAAATTGCCTAATGAATGAATAAAATATTTAATAATCAGATAACTTCAGTATTTTTGATGTCTCGTCATCAATGAAATATCAGTGAATGCATTAATTCATTACTACTTTATCGATGGATTTATAACTTTCTAAACCCTGGAGGGATGACCCATCAAAATGAAACAGAACTTTTATCTCACTCCCCATTTTCAAGTGAAAATTGTAACTGATCACATCCAAAACACTGAAATGAAAGGCAAATGCAACAGACAACTTGATAGTGAAAAGAGGGCAAAATTACAAAACTCTCCACAAATCTAACACTGGACACGGTCCAATGCTGGTTTCTGAAACAAACAATATCCTGCAATTCAATAACACTTTCACAACAGCACTTCTCTGCCATGTGTACTGCCCTTGTCATCTTACCTGTCTCTGAACCAGTAGTGGACCCTGCTCCTCCTTCATCCTCCACCGACACATTATCCGGGTTAGAGTCATGGGAATGTTCTCTGGCAACACGTTTTCGGGGTTGGATCTCCCCAGACGTTGATCCCTCAACCCTGGGGTCCTCGTTCACCTGTTTTCTCACCCGTTGCGCTCTGTTCATGGCTTGGAGCCGCAGTCCCTCCTCGATGCTGGTTGTTAGAGCTGCGGGGTTGTGGTGTTTATTCAGTTTGGCAAGCACACGTTCCTGGTGCGCTTCATATTCATCCCTACTGGGGTAGATTTTGGATATTAAAGCATCAAAATTTGGATCATGTCTCAAAGACCTTTTTGAAACCAGCTTCTTCCTGCATGTCGGACACTCTTTGTTGCCGCTGCGAAGAGCTGTTATTATGCATTCTTGACAGAATCGGTGCAGACATTCCTTTGTGGTCATAGTATTTTTTAACATATCTAGACATATTGGGCACATTAACTCACTGTGCAGACTTCTTGGAGATACTGCAATCTCAGTATTATCAGTTATCGCTTCTTGCGGCGTCCTTTGCAGTTCGTACAAACTGAGCTCCCATGTTTTGTTAGACGGGGGTGCTGCTTCCGTGGCCATGCTGTGAGCACGATCGTGAAAGTAGTCCAAAATATAACAATCACTCCGCATCATATTTATAACTGATATACAAATTGTTCATATTGTTTCTATTCTAAGTAACTGAATCGGGCACGATTGGGTGTATATCTCTTTGAGGACATTCCCAGTACAATGCACATCTGCGAGCTTATTTGTAACCGCAAAGTTTCAGTAGTAGTTTTTAGGGGCGCAATAATCACTCACTTTCATTTATGAGCAAAATGCGTCACTGTTATTATTTATCTGTATTTTTGCCAGTGACCCTTACATTTTTTATTAGATGTAGTCTGCTGTGTCTGCAGATTGATCAAGTCTTGTTTGTTTGCTTCATGTTACTATAGTTTCTCACTTATAACAGCGGACCCGAGCTGATATATTCCACATGCTATTTCGTTTTCATCCATAGTACGCTATGTGCACGGTTATTGAGAGCGAGGTCCTTGCGTGGAGTTGATCATTACAGTCTCGTGTTTCTTCTCGCTTTTTGATATTGAGTGTGAGCGTCATGAATCACATGAAAATGTAAACCATAAAGTGTATTTAGTTGTTGAAGCAAAAAGCAAATGTTTGTATTTGATATGCGAGGAAGCAATATAAAAAAAAACAAAGCATTCTGGGTGAAGAAGCCGGTACGCCATCTTTGATTGATCTGGTGAGAGCGTGACCACTTTGTGTAATTTTACAGATTTTTGGCCGTTGTATTGTTGAAATACCCAAAAGCATTTTACCATCATGTTAACATGTCTTATTTTGTCATTTTAGTTCTAGAATAAGCTGTTTTCTGTCAAGATGGATGGAGATATGGACGTGAAACCAGGTACTTTTTTGTCGTTTTCAGTCGGCTAGCAATGCATTAACAAAGCATTTCGTATCAAGTAGAAAGACGTAGGAAAACGAGTACAGCTTTTCCTTTGATATTGTTCTCTTTTTACCATGGTCAACCTTTTATCAAACGTATGTATTTTCCATTCATTTACAACTGTCTTAAAGCAATGTGTGAAGCATTTTCGTTTCTTATTTTATGTCTGTTTATCATTTGACTTTAAAACGAAAAGATGGGAAAAGTTGGTTTTAAATTTTAGTGTAGACATAAACAATAATTCAAAATTTTGTTTAATCTGTCTTGTTCACAACATAATTCAGAAAAAGAAAGGGAAAGGCACAGGTCTAGATCTCGTGAGAGGGACAGGAAACGCTCCAGAAGCAAGGACAGAAGAAAGTCCCGATCAAGGTCAAGAGACAGAGACAGGAAGAGAAAATCCAGAAGGTATTGTTTTCATTTGAAAGTTAGTATTTTGAAGTGGTCATCATGGATGTTTGAGCTATTTCCTTCGCTGTGTTTTCTCTAACTTGTACATTTTGTAAACTCTTTCAAGGCCCTAATCATCACGTTCTCATCTTTATAATTATCTTAATTGTTATATAATTTTTCAGTCGTTCAAGAGATCGAAGCAGCAGGCATACAAAACCTCCAAAGAAAAAGCCTTATAAATACTGGGATATACCTCCAGCTGGCTTTGAGCATATAACACCAATGCAGTACAAGGCCATGCAGTGTACGGATGCGCTTACTGGTAGCTCTGAAAGATACTATCTGTTGAACTCATCTTAATTATGTCTTACACAAAGTGTTAATTAATAAAAGAGGAAAATTGCAGAAAATCTAACATCAGCTTAATTTATGTAAATAGATATTGCAATTCTATAGCTGTCAAAGGGCAGAGTGTATTTGAAATGCTCTCCCTTGACATTTTATATACCAATTTAGGGAAGAAGCATCACAATTAGCTTCCCAATAGAATTATTAAAAGAAAAAACTTGACTTGATTGGGATTCAAAATAATAAAAACAATGGACATGCTTTTTTTTTTTAATTGTTCTTTAGTATCATTTGCCAAATGCCTATTTTTAAATTCCCATCACTAAGCAAAGAGCAAGCTGTATAGAATATACACTATTTTTAGGCCTGTTTTTTTTAATACTCCTTGCTGGATGTGGGTGTTTTCTTTTTAGTGGAAGAACATTGTTGATTATTTGATTTTCTAGGCGCTGGTCAGATTCCCCAGACTATTAGTGTCCCCACAACAGCCTTGACACTGAACACTACAGTTCCATTTGCTGGCAGTGCCATAAGTAGGCAAGCAAGAAGATTGTATGTTGGGAATATACCATTTGGTGTCACTGAGGTACAGAAGCCACTTATTACTGAGAATGTATTTTGAAATTTAAAACAAACATACTTTTTGTGAACGGGTCAAGATTAAAAGGTCGCTGGTAATATGTAGTGCCCTTCATCTGTCTTTCTATTAATATCTTGTATCTTTTTCAAATATGATTATCCTTTTGTAAGTTTTTTTTTTTCTTTTTTTGAAAATTACAAGTTAAACAACATTTCAGTTTGTATGTTGTTGAATATTATCAGGAAGCAATGATGGACTTCTTCAACCATCAGATGAAGATGACTGGTTTGGCACAAGCAGATGGCAGTCCAGTGATTGCAGTTCAGATAAACCTGGATAAGAATTTTGCATTTTTAGAGGTATGTTAATTCCCAATGCTGTATTAAGAATTCAGAACCATGAAACTTGTTTCCCTTGCTTCTGTGACTATAATGTTACTGGGACAATGGAAATGGCCTCTGTAAACATCATAAACTTGCAAACATGTTCATAACTGGGGAGCTAAGACTACAAATTTCATAACACAGATTTGGCTCTTGTGGGATTCTCAGATGCATGAAAGGGAATGTTGATTTTCAAGGTCACATGGTAGAATCTTATTACCATTTAATATACGTTTATTATTTTGCATTTTTAGAATGCATTGTCTTCTCTTTCTCTGTTTAAAAGTAGTGGTTGGTAAGTTTCATTTGCATTTGCTTTTAAATCTAGGAGCTCTTAAATTTTTTTGCAATGTAAAATGTATGACCATTTTGACTAGCTTTAACTTGGGACATACAATTATATATTGTTATTAACTAATGTATGGCATAGTTCATACTACCTTTGCAGTGTGTTATCATACTGTATTAATTTGTTATTTCTAGTTCCGTTCAGTAGATGAGACCACACAAGCAATGGCATTTGATGGGATAAACTTTCAAGGCCAGTCACTGAAGATCAGGCGGCCCAGGGATTACCAGCCATTACCAGGAATGTCAGAAACGCCCTCAATGGCAGTGCCAGGTAAAACATGTTCCTGATATACTCATAAAAGGACAATGTTTCATTACAATCCCCCTTGCCCTACCTCAACAGCAAAAAAAAAAGAGAGAGAGAGAGAGAGATGTGAATATGTTTGGAGTATGTTTTAAATGAAATATTGGTTTTGATGTCTTTGTGATAAAGTACAAGTTCTTTTACAGTTTCAATGTTTTGAACATAGCACTTATGATTTACTGCTCTTTCAGGTGTTGTATCAACAGTTGTACAGGATTCCCCACACAAAATATTCATAGGAGGACTACCCAACTATTTAAATGAAGACCAGGTAGGTTGTTATCTGAAAAACAAGCCAATGTGGGAGAGAAAGGCAGTTACTTGAATTAAGATTTTAAAATACTTTTACCTCATTTATGTCATCTCCAAGTTATATTGATGTATTTTTTGTAATAGTTAAAATTTTATCTGCCTTTCTGTCCAATGTTTTTTTGCAAGTCCTGTTATATTACACAGTTTAGGAATAAAAAAGAAGAGAGAGCCAGTAAGAAAAGAACAGAGTCACCATGAAGGGACACATTGCAGTTGTCTTGCAGGGTGTCTTTTTCAGGTTCTTATTTTGCAGCTCTTTTATTTCCTTCATTTATACCAAGCAGTAAAAGCATACACTTTATAAAAGGCAATTTTTCTCAGTGCTAAAAGCAATCTTGCTTTTTTATTTAAAATAGTTCAAAGATTTCCAAAAAAATTACAAAGAAATTCTCACCTGATGCATTTTGAATCAGGCTGTTGGAAACTTGACAATTTTAAGCCATATTTTTAATGAAATATTTGCCAATGTGCTAGCTGCTTGGTATCCAGGTTTGGCAGGTTGATTGATTGAGATGAATGGGTGAATAGTTCAAACTTCAAAGCAGCCACAAGATTGGTAAGATTGCAGGTATTACAGGTGGCAGATATGGAGGACAGAAAAGTGATCACAAAAAAAAAACAACATTGTTATTCTCCAAGGATACTTTGTTCAGAGACTTTTTCAGGAACAGTCATGAAAAAGTAAAAAAAGAAACGAGCTTTTTGGGTTTGTTTAATGCCCTGGATAACCAACACTTTCAGACATAGATTAAATGACAGGCTGTTTTTGTCAGAGGATTTACAGGAAAAGATTGAACTGATGACAGATGCTTTACAAGTTTTGATGAATGAGGGCAATGGACTGACTGACAAAAGTAGGAACCAAGATATCTGTATCACAGCACAAAAAATGCGACAATTTTGTCCTGGATATCATAAAGCAGAAAAGTTTCATGTGGAAGACCACAGAAATGTTTTAAGTTACAGGGAGTCCCATTAGAAAAGTATTGCAGTTTGTTCTTAGTTTTCAAATTTGAAGGCAGGGTCATTTTGTTGTCAAAAAGTTCAAAATTATTTGAGCAAAAATTCCCTTTTTTTCCACCACACTAGAAATGGAAAAGATCTCCATTCAAAATTCTAAAAGCCTTTCAGGGTTTTGTTTCAGGAAGTCTTTTACAGGCATTTCAGGGGTCTTTTTTCAGGAATTAACAGCATGAAATGCTTGTTTTTGAAAATCTCTTAGCATTACAACTAGATTAAACTTTGAACAAAATTAAACATTTTCAATTTTGTAATCTGATAAGCAAGTAGCAAATGCTGAAGTAAAGGAAAATTGAACATTTTTCAAAAGTAGTACTGTTGTACAGCAAGGACATCTTTTTTTATGAAATGGCATTACTCATCAAGATTCTTGTTTCTTCCCCATTTAATTCCCTAGCCTAGGGGAAGAGGTTGAGGCCTTTCCTCCATCTAAACTTATACCCTTAGCAGTTGTAAACTCACACCACAAGAGACAGGCAAGTGAACCTAGTATTTCATGTGAGTGGGAGATGGTCTGTCTCACCTGTGCAGCCAGGTGGAAAGTTTGGTTGATTTTGAATGGTGATCTGGGTGATTCTGACTGTTACTGTGATTATCTTCGCCAGGTCTGATGTTTCTGGGGTAAAAGTTTGTCGAAAACAAAAACCTGTTTCTAGTTTGAAAAGTCTGAGGAATGTGAAAGGTGTCAGAGAGGATTGGGTGATAGTGGTGTGTGGATTTAAGTTAAGTAATATAGGAGGTGGCATACTGACTTGAAACATTTACTCCACTTCAGTGTTGCAAGGACTCTGATGTTAAATGCACAAATTTTATTCCCAAAAATTGGTTGGCAAAAAAGTTACAGAAATATTCTGTGAGGGTGAATTAGCCTGGGGGACTGAAAATTGATGGCCTCTAGGGATATTGCAAAAGAAAGAACATTCTTTTTTGTTGACAAGAAGTCAGTATGGAATCTCTTATGTCCATTTTTGAATATAACTCGATGTTGACAAGTATTACCAACTTTTAGGTTAAGGAGCTTCTGATGTCTTTTGGACCCTTGAAAGCATTCAACTTGGTCAAAGACAGTGCTACAGGACTTTCAAAGGGATATGCTTTCTGTGAATATCTGGATCCTAATATCACTGACCAGGTAGGCAGACACAGAATCCAATATATTACTTTTTTTAACACTATTAAGATGTAAGTTTTTTTCCCTTCAAGTCAAATAACTTAATTTTTTAAGTTTAAGAACTTGTTTAGAAATACATTGATGACTGTTTTACATGTCTTCACTTGATTTAGATACAAGGTGCAAAGTTCTAGTTCCATGGAGTTTGCATGTGTCTTATAAGATCATTTTCTATTATAGGCCTGTGCAGGTTTAAATGGCATGCAACTTGGTGATAAGAAATTAATTGTCCAGAGAGCAAGTGTAGGAGCCAAAAATGCTCAGAACGTAAGTCCATTCATAGTCCAATATTTTGGCATCGTTTTGGAAAACATACATTTTATGCCATGCTCATTCCATTTAATAAAAGACATTTCATAGTGAACGAGAAACATTGAATACTTTTTTTTGGATTGTTTTTATTTTGGATTTTGGAACTGCTAGTTCATGGGTTAAAGGTATTGTGAATATTGGAGTGAGCTCAATTGTTTATATTTTGTAGCAGGCCCCGGTACCCATCCAGGTTCCAGGGTTGAACTTGAACCAGGGCTCAGGACCTCCCACAGAAGTGCTCTGCCTCATGAACATGGTGGTCCCAGAAGAACTGGAGGATGAAGAGGAGTATGAAGGTGAGGCACTAGTGAACTGTGTGTGTAAGAGGAGGTAAAGGTTTATTTGGGTGACATAATTGATGTGAAACAGTTCAGAATACATCCACATTTTAATACCTTGCAGCTTGATTTTGGTGTAAAAAATACGTATCTCATCTTGAATTGTTCTCTACCAATAAAAACTATGTCATAGAACAAAATGCTTCAAGTTTATGCCACTTTTTATTTTGCAGAAATTTTGGAAGATGTCCGCGAGGAATGTGGCAAATATGGTATTGTTAGAAGTATGGAAATACCTCGCCCTATCAAAGGTGTTGATGTGCCCGGGTGTGGCAAGGTGTGGACCCATTTCATTGATACAAATGTTTTAAAGCACTATTTTTAACATCACAAATTATAGTTGTACTGTAACTGATATTAAATGAGACGTGGTTTTTCGTCTTAAAAATAACATATCTACTTTGAAAATAAATATTTTTACGTTTATTATATTTCATGAGCATGTTTCAGTAACCATATGCAACAATTTTTCTCAATTGTTTCAGATATTTGTGGAGTTCAACTCCGTCATAGACTGTCAGAAGGCACAGCAGGCCCTTACGGGACGAAAGTTTGCCAACAGAGTTGTTGTCACCTCATACTACGACCCAGATCAGTACCACAGGAGAGAATTTTAACTCTTGATCTACAATTTACAGTGCACTGTTCTGCTTATATTTACATAGGAATTCCAGCCTAGGAAAATGAACTCAAATCTTCATCATGCGAAGCTGTTGTAAACGTAGTTTTCTACACAAAGGATATTTTTGAAGTTGGGGAATCCAGAATGGATCACATGAAGGTTTTAGGGTTAGAAAGTTAATATCAGACCTTGTGCAGATCTGTCACCAACTTCTGACTCGTTGTTACATGGGACAAATTTCGGACAAAATGTTATTTGTAGAGGCAGTATCATTCCTTCGTTTATGCATGTTAAATACTGCGCCCTTTTAAAGTGCACTTTTAGTCCATTGTCAGTCATCTTTACCATTCAGAATGTTCACTCTGGCATTATGTATATTGTTTTATAATCATTGTATTAAATAAAATATATTGGAATTAGAATCGTACTTTATCTCAGATAAAGAAGTTTTTGGCACTACATTTTTAATCCTTGTGACATGAAAGGGAGTGAAAAATTCTTAAAATGAGAAGTTGTTAAAGGTATGATTTATTTATCACAGCCAAGCAAAATATAAAGAAATGGCAAAACTAAGTTGAGACGAAAGTGTAACATGATAAAAAAAGATTGGCATGAATGTAGTGTCATTTCCCATGACATAAAACTGAACTACAATATTACCATGCATTTCTCAGTTAATACAGCATAAAGAATCTAGCCACCATGTTGGAACCTTAAAAACCAGTCACAATTTTCACACTGATCACCAGATTAGTCTAATATATTATAACATCTTGATTACGTTAAAAACTTCATTATTTCTGCTCCACTATTCGAATAGACCTGTAAAGTACATTACAGAAGAATTCTTCTTCAGGTTTCTTTAAATGTATAATACTAATGTTCTTCATGCTGATAAGATGTGCACTCACTGGTAAAATGGTATTCTTCAAGATATAATTGAACAAAGTTCCTGCATATTCCATTCCAAATAAGACTAAACTGATATGATTCTCACTGATACCCATTACAATGACATGCCCTAAACTAAACTAAATTTAAGTAGAAAAAATATAATAGCACGTCCACAAATAAGTTAAATGCCAAGAATATTCTCAACACTTATACAGTTAAATGTTCACACACGTGGGTCAATTTTTTTTTATTTTTTGTACCTCTTTTTCCTTTTGCTCAGTTTGAAAAGTGAATAATATAACTTTGCAGAAAAATGCAAAAGAAGAAGAAAACTCGCCAAGGATAAAATGATGTAATTCAATACATTAGGAAAAGAGAATTTCCATTGTGGTCTTCAGTCAATGTGGCTGTTTCCTTCTAATCTATTTCACCAAGGATTTTCATCCCTTTTTTTTCTGACAAATACATGAAACTTTATTTCAAAATTTCAAAGGAAAACTATTTTGTTTTTTAAGTATTGTTATTATAATTTCAGTAAGCATACTGTTTACAGGAAAAAAGGTACAAAAAAGACTATTATAAAAGCAACTGTACTTATAACCAAATAATGGTTGTGATATATATGTATAAAGGCAAGATTAAGTAAAGAGTTTTATGTTAAAACCATAAAACAAAGAACTTGAAATGAAATATCTCAGAAAAAAAGGAACTTTTACAATGATTTAAAAAAAAAAAAGCAATTCTTCACAGCAGAGGCTAAAGAAACTTTTTATAATGGTACCATCTATGTGTAACATGGCACAGCAAAATTGTGTTTTCATTTAAAAATGTGAATCAATGAACAGACAACAACAGATTTTTAAATACTTAATTTTCTGACAACATAATGGGACACCAAAGCTCCAATTACAACAAAAATTAAAGCTCATCATGACTATTTAAGTACATTTGCTTCTCTGCCTTTAAATGCTGCTTACATTTTTCTAGCCCCTGAGGTTCACGCTATCTCAAATCCCCCTATCAGTCAAATCTTTACTTGGCAAAGCAGCAAAACAGGGTGTGTCCTGACAGGCCGAAGTCCAGTGGGTTTACAAGACATCCTGTTTTCATAACTTATAATAGGTTTCTGCATCCCTTTATTTTCTTAAGGCATTTGTCATTGAAGCTTTGTGCTAATGAACATCTGATAGGGCATTACAAGTTGGAAAAAGAATCACTGGACAAAAGACCCTCCAGAATATCGAGACACACATAAAATAACAGTATTCAATAATATGTCTTACATTTTGCAATATTATGAAATTATAAATGGGTGCCTTTACCTTGTCAAAATCAATATTTTACAGATAATGTTGACATTTCATATTTGTTTGTGAAAGAAAAAAATTAATCACTTTACCTAAAAAGAAGCTCCATATGTGAAGTAGTTTAATATAAGTAATGGGGAAAAATACATCCATTTGGAAACAAAAACTGTACAGTTCAATTGCTAATAATACCTTTGGCTGCTTAAAAGTTAATCATTAGACATATAACTACTAACATTCAGTTAAAACGTGTAAATCATAGTCTTTGAATACTTGAGAAGTATTAACTTTAAGTTAAAACTGCACTTGGATCCAGCCTTGTTGGATCCTAGAACTGCACAACCCTTGGCTAATAAGGGAGTGGTGGTATATATAATTTAATAACTATATTGCCACTAAGTCTACATCTAATGTCTCAGATACTGAGCTTTGTTACCTGAGCGGTGTGGGTATCATCTCAACAGTCCCCTTAGAATAAATACTTTGTCTGATAAAAACTATGAGACAACCTATAAGATGTCCATTAGAAGTAAAAGCACCAGAGCATATTTGATGTTTCAATCAAATTATCATTATTTTGCTTGTGGCTTTTTGTGTCCTATATATATATCCTCTTGATATATAAGTGAGTCAGATTAGTGTGCTTTAGCCCATTGTGAGAAGAGGACCATTATAAAGTAAGCCACATAATGTTGTTGGCTTAGCGGAAAATTGTTAAAGAAGAGGCTGCTCAATCTGGGGTCATGACAAATTTCTCTCAGCATGATTGTTGAAAGCTGTCATATGAAAGAACTTCGCTCCAATCTGACCAATGTCCACTTGGTCCACTGATAGAAGAATGAGGTTGCGGCATCACATGTGAATTGCTCAAAACTACACATCAGTAGGGGATGCTGTCCCAGTGGCGTATCTGCTTCGGCCATGGTCAGCATAATATTCATACTACAAAAGTAAAAATCCTTTGTTAGTATTTATTAATGAGATTTTATGATCACGCCAACACCAAACTTACTGCATTTTGAATTCAACTGTGGTCATAGCGTAACAACTATCCAAACATTTTTTCTATTTCTTTTAAGAGCATCAAAAAGAAGTTCGACAATAAACTTACTTGAAGGTTATTATCATCATATTACAGATAATTTACTCTTAAATACCAATTTTACACCTATTTATGACAAAAGCTACTTTGTAATAGATATCAAAATTCTCAGCCAAAAAGAAGAGTGCACATACTGCAGGGGGAGGTGAGCCCTGGTCTCTGTTCTGTAGTACCAGTCTTTCTCTCCTCAGCTGCCCACTGAAACACAGCAGTCAATGTCAAAATTGCTAATACTCAGACAAATGTAATCAGATATATGCAAAATATACCATTTATTTATCTTAGTACATGTATTTTATTATACTAAAAACAGCATATAATAAGAAATTTTATTTTGTATTGAAAAATGTGTATCTACTAGTTGTATTCTAAGTTTGATGTAACAGACCTACATACAGCAGATACAAAAATGAAGTAATTGGTTCAATTTGATGTTATATTAATTATGTTACATATTGTGCTGTTAATAACCAAGACATGGTTGGTATTTATAGTAATTGTTATCATTTGAAACAGAGTGGTGACTGTTTCATGTGTTCAAATATAGAAATACTTGTTAAGTTGTTTGTCACTAAAACGATTCCTTTAAAAATGGAACTTATGGTATTGAGCATTGCAGGGACATCAAGCAAGCTATTAAGGCAATACTTTCAATATTCTGAAGAGCAAACAATTACAATAAGCAAGAATAAACTATAAATAATAATAATAACAATAAAATAAACAAAATTGAAAAGCCATTTAATACTATGTAAATACATGTTCAATGCAAAAGAGACTTGATATTAAACATTCCTATGCATGCTATAAAGACAAACTTTCATGCACAATAGATGCATATGGTCAGTTCAGACAAAGACATTTGAGACCTGGGAATTAGACCCCGATATTGCCATTAATTATCTTGATTAATGAAAATCACCCACCCAGTGTCAAACTCTAAATCAACCATAAATGAAATATAAAATGCACTTATCCAAGTTGTATTCCATACAATTTGGTGCCCCCACTTGGATCCAATTTTCCAGACAAAACCAGTCCTCCGTGAACTGACCATACAGTAGCGAAAAGACAACAAAGCAGAGAAGGCTACTCACACAGCAGTACTAACAGACAGAGAAGAGAGGAGACCCTCATGGCTAAGGGACCTATTCCCAAAAGTGCCATACCTAGGAGTCTGTTCAGTTAGAAGTGGGCTAGTCGGGCGACTTTGCTCAGGCCCAAGTCGAGGTAAGAATGGATCATCTTCCTCTATATTTGTATAAGGGCCCCTGGATCTGAGTAAAATATACACAATGCTGTAAGCAATTTGTCCCTTTTCCTCCCAAGCTCTTTCTGCTGAACCATCTTAGAAAAAGACCAATGTCAACTAATTGTCCTTCTGCAGAATTAAGTTTTGCTTTTATATTTGTTTATATTAAGCTGATAATCATTTAATGAAATTATAAATTTCCAAACCAAAGTTCCAGTTGAAACTCACAAAGAAAATGTCTTAAATTAACATGAATCAAGATCTTTTCAAGAAACAGATTAATTGTTGAATCACTGTTTGATTTATAAACAATACGAACAGTTTTGTAATGAGCCAGACAAAAGGACAATAGTTACAATTAGTGAAAATCTAAGATGGTTCCCCAATTGATCAATCCTGGGCTCATCTGCATGCTAGTGTGGTTAGTTGGTTGGCCTACTTAAAAAGTAAAAAAATTAATATTTAGTGGTTTACAAATTTCTTTCAGTGAAAGGGTCACTTTTTCACATGCTATGTACAGAAGACTGAGGGAAGTCTTTCAGATATAATCCCATTTTCAAATCTCTGATTTCTCTAAAAAAAATCCCTTTCATAGGGAATTCGGAGACATCTTTGAATAAAACCAGTTCATTCTCTTTGTTCCATATTCTGTATTTTGCCAAAAACCTTGAAACAAAACTCAAAAACATGCACAAGCACATATTATGTGAAACTAGTGACACCTATCATGCAACTGCTACAATGCCTATCATGCTGCCATACATACAAATACACATATGTGTACATATACATAGCTATGTCTACAGCACAAAGTACCTATAATATTTCACTGGAGTTTGGTCGGAGTCTTGATCGATGTTAGGAAGGAATGGATCATCTTCATCAATGGAGGAATAACGCCCTTTCCTTTTTAATCTGAAATATTCACTCAATACCTCAACTTTTCTTGTCTCCAAAGCAAAATGGTCCATTTGATAACTATGTTGCCTTGCTGGTTCCCATTTAGAGAAATAAAACTAGCTAGCCATAATCATGAGTGGCAGGTCCAAAATCAACCCTACATTCAATCAAATATGCAAAGAAAGGCTCATTTATAAATGCTCTCATTCAAACAAGCATACATAGGGTATCTGGAACACATCAAATTGTTGAACATGCCAATCAAAAATAAATATTACAGTTTCTTGAGCAAGTACTAATTAATGTGTATTTGAATTCTTTCAAGTCATTTTAAATACCCTACACATATATTGAAATAGGGACACCCTCCAGTATTAAATGTAGTATAAAAATCACTTTTCTCACTAGCATTATTCACAGTTATAGTTTTACAGAGAACAACTGTTTAAGTTAAAGAGGACATTTGAAATCTATATTTACTGTCATCTTTTAAGACATCCATTTAAACAACTTAACACATGGTAAAAATGTATTAGTATACATATTAAATTAAAACTAAAAGAATCACCTCTTTCCCCAATGCCTCCAGGCTCTTGAGTTGAACACAATTACAAATGCTAGCAGGAATCCAGTCACTGCAGCTGATAACAGCATGAATGCTAGACCATCACTGAAATAAGGAAAAATTAAATGGGAAACTTCCTCCTGCTCGGTTTATACTTATACTTTAAATTACTCTTATTTTTAATATTTTTTGCAATATGAAGCATCCATATCTTTTTTTTTATTATTACTAAACTATCTCAACAGGTAATTCAAATGTATGATTAGACTAAAAATTTTATTAAAAAAATCATCCATCATTATCATCTGAGATTAGTTGGAAATTAATAAGTGCATGCAAACTATCCCTGCCTAACGTTCCTTTGCCTTCACTTTTGGAAGGAAAAGATCAAAATATGAGAAACGATTCTCTTCTCATGGATAAATCTCTTCTTTAATCCATTTACTTACAGGCCTTTATAACACATCCCTTTCAGTGCAGACACATAGTCGTTGTGTATTGGAGTGCAGTCCACCATTGACTGGAGGTTTTCCAGATCACCAACCAGCTTCTTCAGGTCCTGTCTTATTGGATTGGAATACTGGTCAATCTGCAATGAAGGCAGGTTCCATATGTGTATTAATAAGGATATAACATATAACCAAGAAATGTATACATTCTTGATGTTTCTCATGTTGAGATAAATGTGTGTTATCTAAAGGCAAAGAAACATGATCCTCAATGTTGAAGACATAACACTGACATTTTTTGCATAAATGCATTTGAAAAACAAGACTGTCAAAATACAACAACTTTCTATAAAAACATTTTTCGCAGAAATTATGAGTAATCATGTCATATATTTTGCAGAATAAAAACAACTGCAGACACGAGTGAACACATCACAGGACTGAGAGGCAATTCTCACCCCATTACTTCTTTTAAAAAAAAAAGAAAAAAAAAAACAAGTGATCTGTGCTTTAGTGCTGTCAACTTACTTGATACTGTTCAAAGAAAGGTGAAGCCAACCAAACAATGTCTGTCAGCGAAGAATTGATTTTGCTCACACTAGCTGAAGCACTCTGTAGATCCTGATAAATATGGTGAAATTACAAAAGGAAAAATAAAATAAAAGGATACTTCAGGTATGAGAAAAAAAAGAAGGCAGAGTCAATGCACACCAAACGGATTGAAAAAATCCTGCCAATTGCAGACAACAAATGAGAGCTCAATTACAAAAAGTCATTATCAGGTCATGGTTGAGATTACAGAATTGTCTACTAATTAAAAATTTACTTTGGTGTCTAAATAGGAGACTTCTCAAACAAGTCCACAGAACGGAAAGTCATTGGCTGATGAAGCCATCACGAAAAAAAGTCCCAGTGGAAAATGTATCTAGAGAACAACACTGATATGGTTCTGTAAGCAAATTTGTATGGTATGAGTCTTTTTTGTAAAAGTATCTTCCATAGTCTTTACATATCCTCTCCCATATTAAAAATATATGACTTCTGCTCTGACAAGTTTTTTTCAAATTCTTTTTTGCAATACATACTAGCTGCACTAGTGAGATGTGGTAATCAAATATTTCCTGAAATAGTACATGCAATATCACAGTTTTTAAACAGTTAAAATGTTAATTATCATGCAATGTTATATGAATATATCCAATACATACTGGAAAAATTGAACAAAAACAAATTCCTACTATTTTTTCTATATACTTGACACTGGGCTATTTAGTACTGTATTCAAGTAAACAAATAGGGAATTTTCTATTGTTGCACATTACATGATTGTATACTCCAACCAACAGTCCTGTTTAATTCTCACATAAAAAATAAAATTCAGGAAATTCTAAAAGAAAAATTGCTTAAATTTCCTTTAAGGATAAAAGTTGTCGCCAAAAACGATCAGTATTATCAAAAATCTATCTCCAAATGGTAATACATATTTGGTATCATGCATACATCACATTGCTCAATGACTGAAATGCCCCTGATATCAGCTATAGTCTGGCTATTTACCAGTGCTCCAGGCAGATCTATTAGCAATGTGTGGATAATTTCCCACAGGGCCCTCCCGCAACTTTAAAAAGGATCGATCAAAATGCCCCCAAACCCCTTATCATGTTATAATCTACACATGCCTCCTATCAATATTGGCTGTGAGGATCTCGGTATGAAGAGCAGTGTTATACCCTCCACCCTTGATATTTATTCATTATTTTGTATTGAAAATTGTATTATACCTAAACTTATACTAACTAGAAATCTAGTTGTAATTGATTCCCATCAAATAAATACACTAAATATAATAACAAAGAGCAAATGTTGTATTCCTTTCACTGCCACAGATTTCAGCAAGCTAGATCAACATCCTGTGACAGCACATGAATGCAAAATAACAGGTATTATAACATCCTTTGGGTTTTTTCAAAAGATTCTTGCCAATACGTGCAGCATAAAACCCACGTCTAATATTGAACAGTTTCAATGACTAAATGTATCCACTTTTTCCTGGTAAGAGTTGATCTGTGTACTTACGTCTCTGAAAGGATTATCTGACAGTGATGTACAATTGGTAATGTAGTAATGGACTACAGCTGAAATAAAAACAAACAAATCATCAGTCCATTATAACAAATAGATACAAAAGGTTCAACCAAGATACTAAGCCTAAACTACAAGTGGAAGTCACTGTGGGAATCTTCATTCAGTAAAAGCTAATGCATTTGATGTTTGTATTAAAAATGCACTAAATACTAAACATTTTTCTTTCTTTTTCCCTGCCATCAGAAATGAGTTTTTCTACCAAATATAACATTACTAAAAGCATGTCCATTAGTTATCTCTTCCATTTTCTTAGACAATCCGAATTCATCTCACCATTTCTGCATGAAAAATAAATTTTTTGTTTGTCTACATATGGACCATCCATAAAACACATTCTATACATGGTTGAGCTTTACCTTGGTCTACAAAGCCAGATTTTTTAGCTTCTTCAGAAACAAACTGATCTGGATCTACACAGAGGTCACCTGCTCCCTGGTGAATACAAACAAAAAGCATCAAGTTTTCAGCTTTTCAAGGGGATTCACAACCACTAATCTTCAGACTAACAAGTCCACGAATCAAATATGGCCAACCAACTTGAAAGCTTGCCATGAAATTCTCTAACAGACAGTGAAAAATTCCCCATGGGGATTACATATGCAGGCTTGCAAGTGGGTCGGCCATATTTGATCTGTGGACTAGTTAGACTGCAGATCAACTAGTTGTGAATGCTCTTTAAGCCACAATGTCTGTCATTACCAATTTTTTTTAAATCAACCTTGAAATAAGATAAAAGAAAGAGATCCATTACATTTCTGTTTGTGTAAATATCAAGTTTTTTTTTCAATGGTGCTACTCAATTTTAATTGAAACATGTCCTTTGGTGCATCTGGTTTTAACTGGCTTGTCTAGCATGCAAAGCAATATTGAACTATCTGAATAGGATTCTCTGTGCAACATAACTTACCACAGACACTCCAAGATAGACTCCGGCAGTGAGCCATGATATGATCAGGTTAAACACAACAAATGCTGTACAGCTGGAAAGGAATAAAACGAGGACCTTTTATTGTTGAAGATGTTTAAAAGTTTAAAATACAGTGTTATATTACAGCTAAATAAAATAGTGTTTAGACTCCTGATGTAAAAATATACAACACAAAGTATCTAACTTTTGTGTTGCTAACTTTGAAGACTTCAGAATTTCCTACCCTTTTCACCAATATACAACTTGACAAATCTTTGTCCTAGGCAGAACTTGATTAAACTCCTTTCAATATTTTAGCATTTGATAAATTGCATCGCTCTTTCTCATAACAATACAATATCACTGTTAACAGTAATTATGTCTTTAAACATTACAACAAACAAGTAAGGTAGGGTGCTTAGCTGGCAGCTGGGGTAGTGCAAGCGATTTTTTTTTTTGCTTAACCAAATCACCAATTTTTTGTCAATTTGTTATCAAAGTGGTTATAATTTGACTAAAGCAAGTCCAGTCGGGCACTTTTCTTTAGCCAATTTAAGTCAGTTCTAGCATTCGGCTAAATTGGCAAATGTTAGTGCTACCCCTGGGTAGCATTTACCTTTCTTAATAAAATATTTTTTGTGCTTTGGGAGTGTCCAACTACAGCCCCCCCCCCCCAGGCATATTTCACACTGTAAGTGTGTTAATTTATTTTTCATTTAACTTGTTTATCTAATTTTTTATATCAAAACACCTTATTAAGCTTTTCATAATAAATATCATAAACCACCAGCTTGTCTCTACTTGACCCTCTTTTTACCTCTAATGAGTATACACTGGACAGGGAAGTAATAAATAAAAATAAAATTTCAATAAATATCAAAAAGAGTAACTTTTACTGGTAACTGTGATATATATTAACTAGAAACCCACAGAGCATTCTTGACAAATATTTTGAAAAAAAATTCACAACTGGATATCAATAATCAAAAATATCTAACATCTGATCACAATGAGATAACATGCATATCAAGTTTATGCCTAAGTTGTAAGAGCTTGAGCATTTAATAAGATTCTTTCTCTATTTCTCTATTATCTGATTCTGCTAGCATTAGGCCTACAGCAATCTACCCTTCATCCCTTATGTTCATGAACTTAAAGCAATATGTTGCAGTTTGCAAATCCTGTTACAACTTGTAGGTTAAATATATGAATTCCCATAGGTGACTTCTTACAATGCACAACTCTGCAGCAACCAAAACCAATCAATACAGACATTTTCATAGTCGTGCTTTTACAGTTCCGTTCACTTTAAAATACTGCTGCAAATCCAGCATCACATTCCTATTTACAATTTCTGTTTAAATTTCATGTAACATACAGAAGACAGCATATTTTATTTAATATTTTAATATATAAACTTTTTGTGCTTTAAAACAGACTGAAATCCCAGTCTCAAAATATATCACACAATATAAACATCACACAGGCAACATATTTTCACTCTTAGTGAACATGAGAGGGTTAATGTAGATGACAGTTATCTGAATGTATCACTATGATCCTTTTCCAAGATAACGGGTAACCCTTCTACATAACCATGAGTTCTGGCAGTGTTATCCGAATAAAATGCCTTCCACAGCCCCTTTATCAAACAAAAGCCCAATTACATCTAATTATGGATAACTCATTAACAGGTAATTTTACCAAGGTGGGAGGAGTCAGTCTACTGCAGATTCAAGCACAGAACTAATGACTAATTATAAAAGGCATAATTGCATGCTTCTTTCAAGCAAGAGTGGAGATAAGATGGGACGGTACATGTTACTAAGAAGCAAGTTCTGATATAATGTGGCACATGCTCACAAGTCTGTTATCTCACATTGATTGCATTAATCACATTTGTACATGACAGTCACACAATACTACATTTTGACAGCCACATATTTCATGTATATGCGTACAAAAAAACTGTGGGCTGTTTGCTTAAAGATGATTTGTCAGTCCCATCCATATGAAGGTTTGTTTTCATATGTACAGTCACCAGAAAAAATTGCAGAAAAAAATACAATGCAGTTAATATTTCTAACTGTGCCTGAAGTCAATTTCAAAACCACAACATAACTCTGTTGTCACTTGCCCTGTCTTCGTAACTGTGTGCTAATTATTTTAAGCAATCGTGAGTTTTACAGCAAGCAATTAATCTAGGAAATTGTTACTTACACCATCAACAAAGCCTTGGACTCAGTCATGACAGCTATCAGCAGGAGAAGACATATCAAGAGTTCAAAACTAAGTACTACAATGGTGGCCAACCACCTGAAAAGAATAAAGTAAAATAACATCTAGACATTTTCATATAAGTGAATTCACAAGTACACATGCAAGCAAGTACACGTGTGTGGACACAAACGCACAAATGTACTGTACACAGTTTCATATTAATATCAATTTTGTAATTTAAATTCAAGTAACATGAGTCTGTATCCTACCCAAAGGTCTCCTCTAATGTCCAACTTTGTTCTTAGTGGTTAGAAATATGAGGAAATCCTCCAAAAGTCAATGAACACAACTTTAACATGAGATGCAACAGGAAACGGAAAAATCTTAGACCATCCCAGTTCCTTCAATTTAATATAATTGGCTGATTAAACTTTTAAAGACAGCAGAAGCTCTTAAAGATTTCAATCTTAAAACAATGTATGCTTCATTATTTTTGTAAATATCCAGGGAGTTCCTTTGCAACATTTTTTGCATTTTCTCTGTCTTCAACTTTTTACCTTACCCCTAGGAATTTAAATTGATTGCAGCTTCTCATAACCTATTAAATTACTGCTGAAGCAAGTTATACCCAAGTGTTGAACAGGCACAATACATTTGAATAGAAAATGAAAACCTGTTGATAAAACATTACCAATTTCAAAATTTATAATGGTACATACATATGTTACAACAATGTTCAATTTTTTTAAGCATAATACATAACTTTTACCTAGAAAAATACCTAAACAACAACAGTGAGAACTCTAAGAAAAGAGCATTCATTTATAAACCATGTGATTCCACAAACCCCTTGAAATCACCTACCAAAATTCAAAATTCCACCCATCAAGGTAATTTTACTTCTCACTCACCTGTAACCTTCATACTGTTTTATATCCTCCAGAATCTTTCTTATTTGTGACGTGTCAGCATCTTTGTGGATTTCTGAGGCATATTTCATGATGTTCCGTCCCTGTTGAACCATGGCTTGGAGGTCCTTGTCCAGCATCAGGCCGATGGTGGCATTAGGAACAGGAGACTTTTTGAACAGGGCATCAAAACCATTCACTCCAACAACTATACTGTTATTAATGGTTGTCCCCATGTCCCCAACCTGAGGATGAGAGAGAAGTTATGCATTATGATTTTACTCTGACTAACATTGCAAATAAATCACACAACATATAATTGCCACAGGATATATCAAATTTAAATACATAAAAGTAATGAATGAATTCAATATGTTGAAGCAAATACTGGCAGAAAGAACAAATTAAAATCTAAGTATGATACATTTGGGTGTAGGGGACATTTTCTTTTGTTTATAGTCCCATTATTACTGCTACAGAAAGTCAAAAAGTGTCTTTAAGTTAATGTCTTAATGTATGTCATCTAAAATCAAATGTCTTTCTACTTAAATGTTTATGTTTCTGAATATTCATATACAGTTCTTCAATGTAGAAGCATAAACAGTTCTGCTTCAATGATCAAGATTCATTCATGCCTGCACTAAGGTCATGACTGATTACTTCGATTTCTCATATCTTTGACCTTGTGACCACAATCTGTCTCCAGATCAATAAACCTACAATGAATTGAGACGTTCAATAAGAGTGGGTAGACCACACACTGACTGAATGCCTCAAATCATTGCAGAAAACAGTGAGGAAAATCTAGGGCTCACACAATAGCTTAAACAGCCCCAGACAATATTTGAAGCTGTATATCTGTACAGAAGACTGCTTGTGTAAAGTAGTGTTTTTTTTTTCAGAATGTTCTATATGTTCACTATTTGTAAAATTAAGATAAAAAGATAGAAAATGAAGCAAAAAAAATAAAAAATAAAAATCAAAGGGCTGAATGGAAACCTCCCCATCATTTCAACAGAAGCTGTATAAAATGTATCTTGAGGCAATCTGACAAAATCGCTTCCAATATCTTTCTTCTAGCACCACAAGCATCTGTTCTTGAATAACACCAAACTCTATTGATCTCTTAACATGTAAGTGCATATTACAGATGGACGAAAAAGTAATTTGAACTGATAACTCCCCAAGATACTTTCAAAAGTTTCAATTCTAAAAAGAAAAAAATTAAGAAGAGACTGGCATCATTCAGTTCCTTCTTTCAGACTTGCTTTTTTCGCCATGTTATTGGTGTATCACATATGGAAGGATGTAATACTTTCCCAAGGACCAATTCTTTGTTTTCAATTTATTTTCTAACTCAAAAATGCTGGCATAATATCTTATTCACAGAAAGAGTGACAGTTAAAACAACTTCTAGGAAAAACAAGCTGAAGATAATTTTGCACACTTTTAATTCACTTTATTGTACTTGAAACATCATACTCTGTACCATAGCAGAACATTTCCTTCTGACCAACAAAAGAGGGAAAAAAAGAGATTTTAGTTGAAAGAGGTACCATCAGAGCTGATGACTGTAAAGGGATTTCTATCAGACACACTGCCAGTAAAAGGTTAAATGAACACATGCATGTAGAGGCAATTTAACTTCCATAGGTCATAGCTGTATCACAAACACACCAGTCTGCCAGATAACTACTAGCACTCTGCCAAAGAGTTCAATTATTGAGAAACTGCTGTATGATAAATATGCTGTATGATTTCATTCATGTCTTTGACCATAGCAGCTTTCTCTGAATACCTCCACTATTTCTCTGCCAGTCCGATGATACCTCATCAAATATGTTGTATGTAAACATTAAAAGCACTCCTATATCTTACCTGTCTCATTAAAAAAAAAAAACAGCAGAATTACAAAAGTCAGAATAAAAACTGGCTTGGATCAATTGCATGCAACATACCAGTAACATAACCAGTGATATAACTCACCACATCGTTAGCACTGTCTATGGTTTCTGCAGCTGAAGAACCTGCCAGCCGCACCTGTAGTACACCCTTGTTGAACTTTTCATTGCCAAACAAACCACTGGCAAGTACACCACTGAAACAAAACAAAAGACATGGTGAAAATATGCCCTGCCCTTTTACTGATATTTATATGAAAATAAATAAATAAATATTTCTGTACAGATTTTTTATCTTATGTAGATTTTTTATCTTATGTAAAAATATGTTCTTCTTTTTCAACTGACATGAACAATTTCACGTTTTTTTTTTTTTTTTTTGCCTTGAGGCATGAAAAGACAAAATAAAAGTAAAAATAAAATGGGATTAATGAGTGCCATTATATGCCTATACACTGTTGGTATCACAAACTGTATCAAATTAGGATTATGTATCTTCCAAAAATAAAACTGCTGTATGGTACAATTTATGTAAGCCAAGAGGTCACCAACTATCAATAAAGCATGAGAATGACATGTGAATTGTTACAAAACAGCAGTGCACTTGACCTCAGTTTATATTCATAGCCACAATGTATCTGTGAGGCACATAACAGGGAAGAGTTGTACCATGCATGTAAACCCTAATGGACTGCCTGTACTAAATTACAAGAGACTGACTACTGATCAAGTTGAAATTCCATTGAGTTCAATAACATTTAATCAATTTCTCAGAGCAGTTAAGAACTGAACTGAACTGTCTTTGGGTATATAATATTATATCACAGGACAACCAAATATAGGTAGTATTAACGCATCCAAGATTTGAATGTCTGGTGTTATATCTACTGAGAAAGAGACACCACTGAGTATTGTTGGACTATCAAATCCCATCATAAATGAGACTGGTTGTCTGGTGGCACAGTTAAGCCTTTGAACAGCTTGTCTGAATGTGGCTTCAGACCCAACTTTTATCTATAGTCTTTGCACTGGGATAAACTACAAAGCCAGGTTCCCATGTTATTTAAATGTGTTGGTGGTCCACGGGCACCTAGCTTTTATATTCTCGTGGCTTTGAGGCATACACTGTGCTCTGTACACACCCACTTTTCAATTTAAAGAAAGCAATCAGTTGATCCAATGCGTCTATTCCTTGCCATTCAAATACAATAGTAGTTAGATCACAAAGCCGACTCAATATTGGCATACAAGCAGGGCTTGGCATCAAAACAAAATGTTCAAGGGGTACTAAGCCAACTGTCAGAGCAGCGTAACAGCAATTTAAGCCTTTTAAGCAATGCACTACGAGCTTTTAGATGATGATAACGAAATTATGCCATCTATGAAAAGATAATTGCGCAATGCATTACCATTAAAAGATTAGAAAGATGGATAAGCTGAGAAAAGTTATGTGAATTCCCTTCTCCTCCTCCAGCTCATCAGGCAAACCTATCTCAGGAAAGCTCACTATAATAACTTCACAATTGAAAGAAAATTGATACATCTTCTGTCTAGCCAGGTTTCAGATATGTCTGACTAAGAGTTACATCTACTTTTCATGAATGTAGAAAATTTCTAAACCTTGACTGGGGTAGCAATTTTTTTTCGCTTAGCCAAATCACCACATTTTTGTCAATTTGTCATTAAAATGGTTATAATTTGGCTAAAACGTTAAATCGAGCCTTTCTTTAGCCAATTAAAGTCAGTTTTAGCATTTGGCTAAATTGGCAAGTGTTAGCTGTACCCCAATAAGTATTAAAGATCTTAAGGTTTTGAATTTTTTTCGTATTAAACAAAATAAAATTATAACAATTAAGAAAACTTAACACATATTTCTCAAATAGCAGATTCAAATCTCATGTACAGAAACGGCAGTTTATTGATTTCTGTAACTGCAGTCCATATAGCAAGTCTTTCCCTTTGCAAGGTTAAACCCTAAACCTTATAAATTAATCATATCAGATTCATCTAATATGGATAACATTTTAACAGTTTATACTTCAAAGGAAGCATTAAAACAAGCATAGAAAGTGACCTAACTTTTGATCATTTGATTCAATCAATAAAGTAACAGAGTGACGCAGCTTGTACACTAACTGTATACTAACTCTGTGCATTATCCCTGCAAGTTATGAAAACAATGTCTCCTTTGCTTTTGTGGGGTGTGTCAACAATGCTTGCTTTGTCTCTATTGAAATCCCTATTCGCAGATCAAACAGTCGTATCCAGGACTCAGGGAGAAGGAATACCTCGATTTCCATTGCACTTTATAAAACACATAAGTACTAGTACAGTAATTCTATATACAACAACCTGTTCAATCATCTCACAAATTCTTCTTGAATATATATATATATATAAACAGAAACTCAAGGCTATCCTAAACAATGTAAACATACAACAATAAAATGTTAAACCCTGTACTTACCATGTTAGAAGAGTAATTATGGCTATGGTCCACTTTAAACAGGGGGTGTTCTTCCTTCTCGGAGAAGCAGCATTCTTGTTACAGCAACTTGAACATCGACAGCAACAGTAAATTGAGAATATGAAGAGCACCAGTAACAGTAGCAACACCGGGAGAGCAGCTGCAAAACCCAGGGACTGAAATAAGAAAGAAACAACCTCTAAATTGATGTTGGAATATATATTACAGTACGTGAAATATATAAATATATACTCTCTGTTCTTTTAGAAACAGGGTGTTGCTGATCTTGTTTTTTTCCTATTTAAACTTCACATGCAAATTACAAATACAAACTCCCCTTTTTTCTAAGTTAAAATTTATTTAATCTAGTATGTTAAACCTCCAATCACCACAACCACCTATTCAAAGAGACCATTCCCAGAGACTATCATACCAACTTTGGATTGATCCATCTCCAAGGGGATTCTCACTAAATTGCTTTCAACTTAAACAGCTTAAATGTCTGTCTTGCCTACTAAAGCTGTTAGGGGGTAATTAACTACCGTAGGCCAAGTGTGCATGAAAGTTAATTACCCTCCTAGCTGATTCGGTAGGCGTGACATCCACTTAAGTTGATAACAATTTAGCGTAAATCCCATGGAGTTAGATCGATCCTGTTGGATCGATCTAGGCATGGGAACCCAGTCAAAGAAAGGTCTACTTTTGAGTCAGACCAATTTGTAAATGTTCACAATGGCAGAGTGATAGTACTCAAGTCAACCCCCAATGCACATCCTCAATAGAAAATGGTGAAAACAACCACTGCATTTAGCTGGGTTACCAAAACTTCACATCTGGTTTTCTAAAAGTACTGTCAACAAAAAATTCTTTGTTGCTTCTTACTCTATTTTTCAAAACATATTTTATCCACCTCCTGGACCATGAATATACATGTGTCAAATATCCAATGTGCTGAGTTTAACCACATGATAACTTTTTTACTCAATACATCATACATAAAAAGACCATTACTAATTCACCACACTACACACTTCTTAATGTCTTACATGGTAAGTGAAGATTAAGTTTATAATCAGTGCTATGAGAAAACGGAAGCTACCCAAAATGAGATGACACCTGGTATTACACTTTAACTTTATTATTACTATGTACATGTATTTAAACTTAAGTATATTATAATTAGTAGTGTAGAGAGCCTATAAATGTACACTCATTTCATGTGCTCAAATAATAATAATTATTATTATTATTATTATTATTATTATTGTTATTATTAACCTTTACACATATTCTCAAAGATTTTTCAGCTACAAAAACAACAGAATTTATTTCACTCATGATATGAAGCACTTTTATTATTATTATTTTTTAAATTTTTACTATCATTCTCTTTTTTCAGCTGATTTTCCTGATGTCATTGGTTAATAATACTGAAAACCAGAATATGCTGAAGGTCATACATTAACACCAAAATTTCATAGGTTTTACTACTTCAAGTGGTACTATTGCCTTGAAGAATATTACCCTATTACTTATTGCCACAAATGATTCTTTTATAATGAACTTAATTTCTAAAAACATACAAAAGCTATACCACATTTGTAATATAAATATATGTTAAAGTCTTCAGGCAAATGGTGCAATGGTGTTAAGAGGCTTATTTGGGCACCACTGATAGAAAGAAACTAGAAGCAGAATGCTCCCCTAGTAATTAAAATTGGGTTGAACAGCTTGTATTTATTTCACTAATGGTTTCAATGCTCAGCATAATTCCAAATTGCTGTAGGGCACAGTTACATCAATATTGCATTTTATTCACCTGAAACTGGTAAAGTTGAATCTGTGTTGCAGGTGCGACAGCTAATATGCACCAGAACAGCATAAGGTTAACAGGTGGTTGCAATACTCATGTTTACCTTTCTGTTTACTCTTTCAATTCATGTGTAAAACCAATAATCAAATGGAGGGCAAAAAGAAAAAGAAAAAAAAGATTAATAGAAACCTCCCGTTACGGTAAACCCCGTGTGATATTTTGGTGAAATAACATGAGTCACATCTAGCCCGATATGGTAAAATGTATGTAAGGATATGAGACATCACTAGTGGAAGAGGTGCCAGAGTGCCCCCGAGGCGCCGAGTTTGTTCAAAACAACACCAACTTGTCAAAATTTATGCGTATTTTAGCGAGATCCAAATAAGAGAAATACAAAAATTATAACATATATACCTGTATATATTCTTCATCATCTAAATTGAACGTCGAATTGGACAACCGGAATTTTAGGCTAATGTGGGGAAACGAGTGAAAAAGTGCAGCCAACCAACTTGGAATATATTCAGTTTTTTCGCCGCCAAGAGTAAGACCTGGATGTTCTGCTCCTCGGCCAGAATTCATTTTGGGTTTTCCAAACCAGCCTGGTATCTACGAGAATATATCCAACAGTACCCTCTCGTTCAGTCATGAATTAGTTGGTAGACGTCACGCTCGGTGGTTTCGCATAGACTCCATTTTGCCTTGGTCACATGATCGTCGATAGGCTGCAAGCGACATCTATTGGCACTTATCTTAATTATTCATGCGAAAGTTGTTTGTTTCTTAGAAATCTAATCCAACGTTAAACCAACGATTGTTGGACATATTTTTCGTTTGTTTGAATCAGTTTCGCATATTGCATTGTTATCTACCTTGCCAATTGATCGAAAATCTCGCGTGCTTATGAGACGATGATTCATCCCGTGACGTCAGGGAGGGTTTTCCCTTGGAATTCGAAGTGATTCAGATTGGGGCCTACTTCCTGTCACAGTTGCACTTGTTTTCTAAGAAAATTACCCAGTGTTGTGGATAAGGACACGGGGATTTTATACTGCGTTCTTTATAGAGGATTGAAGTTTACCCAAAGCGACGATCAGAGGACCAGAAGTCTCAAACTACAAACTATTTGAGATGTGTTGTGGTTGAAGCTAGCCAAGCATTATGTCTACAGGTTGGTGATATTGAAATGAACATGTGGGAAATTTATTAACGGAATCCCCTATTATAAACCCAAAATAACAAAGCAGATGTGTTCTCCACTGGTTCTAGCATGCCTAGAGTCTGTGTAGAATATTTTATGGAGATGTGGTTGGCAGATAGTAAGATGTAATTTGCTGACTCAATCTCGCCTTCTTTTTGTGCCTTTTCTGTCCAGAGAGGAGAGAATGTTGCCTCGAATACCAGGAATGAATCATGGATGACTCCATGGAAACACAAAACATATGCTGTATTCCCAGAGGAAAGCATCACCTTATCCTTCTTTGGGTGTCTATAACAAAAAAAGCACTTAAGGTGTTGGACATTGCCTTATTTTTTGAAATCCATCTATGGTTTGTTTCTTCACAAAATCAGGGTTGCTTTTCAACTGAGTATGTATTGTGTATTTTCTACCAACAATCTTCATAGAGTTACCATGCAGTTTTTCCTGTTGTCAGAGTATGTTTTAACAAGTCAAAATGATATAGCCCGGAATATTTGGGTTAGTCTTAGAGAGAGGTTACTCAGGTACAATGCCATCATTGGTCTTCCCAGCCTACCTGAATCATTTTACTGGAAAAACACATTGATATCATTATGCAATATTATTGATATCATTGATGTAGCTTTGTTACTACAGGTAATGATACCACTGTTTGAGGTTTGGCACTGCACATATGATATATGCAAACCACACAGGTAGATGCTGCTGAAATTGGTCACATTGGCATAAGTAGTGGGCCCACCACCTGTGTGTTGACCACCCCTTATAGATGTTCAACACTGCTGTATGGGAAACAAAAGAATAGCATTCCTAGTCATCAATAATCGACCACAGCTGTATACTACAGACAATTTGACCTCTAATTTTGGCCTTTATGACAAAACTGATAAATAGTTAAAAGACATATATGCTTGTACAATTGGGTTGCAGCTGGCATATATGACACTTGCTTTTAACCAACCTTATCATCAGTTAACAAATGGGCTGAGGTTGTGTCCACCTGTGTGCTGAAGGAAAGTAATTTAGAAAAAAATTTTGATTCATTGGCATCTGTGGATTTTGACCTCTTGGAGGTTTTCTCTAGGCCATACAATGACCAACATTTGACAACAATGACCTCTGTTCAAAGGCATATCAAAGTGCACAAGTTTGTAGAATTGGGTGTAATTGATTCAAACATATTTTATTATCAAGGACAATTATGACCCTGATTGAAAGACAATAGGTTAAATACAATGTTGGATTTTACTTGAAAAAGAAAGTTGGATAAGTGGAATGACTAAGTGAAAGATTTGCAGGGAATTCCCAAATATAGATGTCTTCCAAAGATTTAATTTTTCCTCAACTTTGGTTAATTAAATCCATCAAATCAGTTCTAGATGACAAGCTAAACATGACAGGGTTCACAATTCTGATAAAGGGCAGTCTTTTTAACCTTTTTTTTATAAACAAATTCCAAGTTATGAAACTGGATGGAACTTCAACTATCAGTACATAACAATCATAACTATATAATGTTGTGTAAATCCCCATTAAGTATAAATCTTTCTTGGAGATCACAAAGCTTAACAGCAACCAAATGCCCTGTAATAGCATTGGGGTGTACAAACCGGTGAATGTTAGTGCTGTTTACACTTACCACATAAAATACACAAGTCAGGAGCATTCATATTTTGCATTATTTTATGTCCTCCAGTCAACATGCGTTTGCATCTCAATCTGTAGCTTGAAAATGCTGAATTTGATTCCTAATAGTAGATATGATTTGATATGACAGTGCACTAGATGTGAAAAACATTTATGGTAAGTTTTTCTTGTCTGATCAAATCTATAGATCAATAACTGAAGATGGGACAATTTGAAAAAAAAACACTTCTGCTGATTGACAGGATAGCATAATTAGCAGCTATGTGTTTACCTAGCATGTGTATATAAGCAAGTACCTAGCAAGTCTGTATAAACTCACGTATTAGAGACCATTCCCACAGATATTTAGATCAATCTATCCTCCTGGGGAGTCTCGCTAGATTGCTGTCAGCTTGACCGGCTTAAATGTCTGTCCCGCCTACTAAAAACTGTAACAACTTTTGTGCGCGCTCAGCTCCCGGAAGCTGACAGCAATTTAGCATGAACCTCCAGGGAGTTAGGTCGATCCAGATGGATCGATCTAAATCTGTGGGAACCCAGTCATAGACTTGCAGTTAACGAGGTGAGATTGTTTCAAAATTGGGTGTGCTGAAACACATGAATAATGAATTTGATAGAACTTAATATGATGTAATACATTTTTGATGAAATTGGACAAGAAAAATTACTATAACAGGATGACTGTTATGGTTAACTGTTAGAAAAGGATATTTATGGGGAAATAAAAATCCCTGTTATAAGTCGTTATGAGATCAGTTTCAAACTGTTACATCCTGTATTGACACTATTTTCAAGTGGAAATACATCCTACCTATATATATTAATAGTTGGTTTTTATCTATGACAGGCCCTTACATATCATTATGTCTTTATGGATAGGTTCTAGTTCCAATGTCCATCACAAATAAATATGTCAATATACTTGTTTAAAGAATTGGAAAAAACATGATAGGAGTACCTCCCAGAAGTTGCTTTTTAATTGGCATCATTGTAAACAGTTGCAATCAAACGCCTGCATCACCTTGCTTAACCTTTGCAATTATTCCTTAGTCTTAATTACTAGTAACCTACCCTGCTGATATAAGTGCAGTGTACTAGTACTCATAGCATGATAGGTATACACACATGCACACTCTGGTTGCATGTACTCTTGTTGGACTGTTAATCAGCATTTGTCATTGTTATACAGTTAATTATTAATGGTTACTCCCATGTGATGGAACGATGATTGGTGCATGACCACAAACCACAGAAACCGTCCCGCATGACTTCCACTTTCTCAACTCCAGTCCACATCATGGTTTGTTCCATCCACATTTTGGTTGACTGACTCCATCCACTATCAGTTTTTATAACATAATTATTTGATGTTGGAGAATAGTAACAAAATAATTATCAACTTGTCAGCAGGTGACCACTGGCTTGGCATGCACCCTAGCAGTCATTAATATGTTTTAGGTTTGCTTTCTGGTGAGCAACCACATTTGAAAACAAAACAACAAAGTTCAGTTACCCATTCAGAATATTACCAATATTATATGTATGCATTTATAGGCAAAGCACTATGTAGGGTTTGTTTTAGTAACATAGTAGGATTTCCCACATGACAATCAGACATTCTCGGCACCCACAAATTGCAGTTGTCATCAGTGCACAGAAATTTGCAAAAAAAGAGACAGTGGCTGCAAGAAGTTGAGGTAGGGGGGAAGTGAGTTGTCAGAGGACACAAAAAGTGTTTAGGCATTGGACTAGAAATGGTGGGATGAGGGTAGAGCTGCACACAGGATCTGTTTATGATATGTTTGAAAATTTTATTACAACTCAGTCTCATATTGGCCAGTTGTAAGGGATATCTGCATGTGGACAGATGGTATAGTGTGGAATATATATTTATATATATATGGAAGGTATGCAACTCACTGCATGATAACTCACGAGCACTGCTGAACCCTGAATATTTCCACAGCTAATGTCCTGCTTAAACTAGGCAACAATGCAAAACAATTTGTCTGTACCAATCTATAGCAATTGATCTCGTATCAGTCTGCAGCGCCTAGATAGGCTACCTCTTCTTAGGCCCTATTCCCATAGACACCATCGGCCTACATGGATTAACTTAACTCTGCAGGGATTTTCGCTGAGTGCAATCAGCGTTACAGGTTAACATGCCTCCTCCCGGCCTTAAGTAGAAGGCAGTAAAGCTGGTGATTGTACTAGTACCTTGGAAACAAGGGGAACTGTGTCAGTTAAGCTGATTGCACTTAGCAAGAGTTTGGTGGAGGTATGGTCGATCTAGGTAGACCAGTGGTGTGTCTAGGAATGGGGTCTTGGAGGAGGGGTCCTTAGAGAATTGCCCTGACAGGGAGAGGAGGTATTCAGCAGTTCACTGATCTTTCTTTTAATGGATGCTAATAGCCATGCATTTAACTTCCTGGTCCTACCTCACACAGTTGTGTCTTTGTGTGCCATAGCTTTCATAGATTTTGTTTTACTTTGAAAGCTGCCTTATCTATCATAAATGCAGAGAAAGTTGCAATGGATTTATGAAAACCATGGCATGTCAGTGCCAGCCATTTTATCCATTGGCCTGATGTAAGGAAGGTTTTTAATTAATCATCAGTTATGAAAAACAGCTGGGAAGTCATTAAAAAATGTAGTTGTTTGCAGAGTTTTGCCAGTAAAATAGAAAGGAGCTTATGTGTGGCAGGGATTCACCAGCATGGAGCTCTGGCAGATGACCTAGATGTGGAGAGAAATATTTGGGTCATGGTGCCTGGGAAAGGTGGGTTACAGATACACATGGCAAGGGCCCATACTTGCACTTTAGGAGCACTGATCATGTATGGTGGATATTTGGGTCAAATTGGTTATCTTTCTCAAAAGAAATGGTACATGCAATTTGTAGAAGTGTGAATTAAGTTCATTGTGGTGTTTTCATAGAAAAAAGTAAATGCATTTTATCAACCCATATGACTCATTAGAAGAAGACCAATATATATATCTTGTAAATGTTTTACCCATATTCTGCATAGTCTCATAATATTAAGGGAATTGTTCACCAGCACTATGGCTATAGTAAACTTATAGAATATTTAGATACATAGCAAAGCTTATTTTTAATTACAAAAGAAAGACCCCATAATATTCATTTTTTCTTTTTCAGTAGATATCCATTGTTTTATCAGAAATAAATTATTGTTAAACTCCCAAATCAAAAGTTTGCTGGAGAGAACCCAGACACTTGGCCCAGTGTATTTTTCAGATGCTGCCTTAATATTAACTTTCCTAAAACATACATACTGTAAAATACATATATAGGTCTTTAGTTTGTTTTGTTTTCTTAAGCCCGTGAACTGGATTGACATTCCAGCCGAGCTGTATCCTTCTGTCTGACTCTGTGGTTTCTTTACCTACCTTACACAGCAGGTGACCTTTACATATGAATGAACAGAGACACACACAATGATATATTGATTTGGAAAGCTGTGAAAGAAATTGATCTTGGATTAAATATGATTTGTGTTGTGCAGCATTTTTCATGAAGCATATGTACAGTTAATAGTAAGGTGGCAAGATGTCATTCTTGAAAATAAAATTTTGCCTGCCAGCAGCCCCTAAAGTGTCTTTAAAATGTTTTTAATTATGAATATAAGTACACCTAAAAGTACACCCGGAAGACTTGATAATGACATTGAGCAGTGAGAAACTCATTGTAGTTTTAACTACCAGATATTGAACCTAACCACCTTAAATTTTGGTGTGATTAAATGAACTTTATCAGTTTTAAACAAAGATAATGGCTTTTTAGTTAAACAATTGTAGATATCTCTAGGTGCAGATGTAGTTGCTATTGTAGTTATAAATTCAGTTCCTTGGTTTGTCTTCTTGGAAAGGTGATGTCAATTTTTTTATTGTCTGTAAAACTGACAACTTTTTGCAGCATATTCTTATGTAAGTTTTCAAAACATGAAGTAATATGGGACAAGCAACTCCACCAAAGATAAAATTTCTGAATTATTTAGTGAGATAATTCTTCAGTGTGCAGATTATTACCATTAAGCAGTTACCTATCAATAGTGAATTTCTGTTCCCTGTTCCAAAGAGTGCTTGGGAAGACCCTCTCTTGTGTAGCATTGAAAGAGATTTAGTTTTTTGAATGAAAAAAAAAATTCCTTAATTAGTCCTAAATAGTCCTAATAGGTGATATGCCTTTTTACCCTTAAGTATAAAATCACTAATTCACAAATATACAGATAAATCTTGAAATCCTATATTTCTTACCTGGGGTAGCGCTAGCAATTTTTTTCGCTTAGCCAAATCACCACATTTCTGTCAATTTGTTACCAAAATGGTTATAATATGGCTAAAACATGTCAAATCAAGCCCTTTTTCTTTAGCCAATTTAAGTCAGTTTTAGCATTTGGCTAGATTGGCGAGTGTTAGCGCTACTCCAGCTTACCCCTGATTTTTTTTTATTTTTATTTTAGTAAATGTATCTTTTGAATAAAATTGTTTGTACTTTCGAAATTTTTCTGTTCAGGATACACATACCACAAAATGCCTTTTTTTTTTTTAATTTTATGGGAGAAATACAGTCCACACAGTATGGCCTTTAGTTATTTTTGATCTACTTTCCAAGAAGTATTATCAACTGTAAAATTCTTCCTGGTTACATAATTTACCTGCCAGTTAGTGTTGTATGAATAATTAAGGGACTTACATTTTCACCTCCTTTGGCTGTTTGTATGCTGTTTGTCACCAATCTAATGCAAATAGTTGTGGGCGTTTTTGATGAAAATTCTAGGATAGGTCAGAAAATGGCTAAATTAAAAGTGATTACATTCTGATGGTGATCCAGCTCATCATCTGGATCCAGAGAATTTTTAAAGAATCTTCATGTTTGGAAGATGGGAACAGTTTTGTCATTTTTTCTTATATTACCACAAAAATGCTAATGAATTAGTTGATTAATAAATGGTTAATGTCTTGATTATCATTTTAATATTGATTTTTAAAAAATGAGAATTGAGTGGCCTTGGTTGAGGTCTGCTTTCTCCTCAAGTCTTTTAAAGTTGATATTTTTTTACTCCTCACTGGCATTTGGTTGTTGCATTTTGCCTCAATTTCAAAGAGGGGGTTCTTTTTCGGATAAAGTGGAACTTTTGCCATGAAAACTGCACATGCATTGATAAAATTTTACATAAAGTGGACCTTTTTACAGCAAAATGAAACGCTACTTTGATGAATTTATATCTGTTAGTAGCTATTTCATTTTCAGTCACTAATATTTGCATGAGTATGTATCAGTTATATTGGTATGAACATGTACATTATGTGTGATTTGTAATCATATACATTGTACAAGATGTGTTACATTGTGAATAAAATGAGCCTTGGGAATTGAGCCTTGGGAGCCTGGCGGTTGTTTATTTTAATTCCATTTTTTTTTCCGCTGGATTTATTTTTGTGCATCATTTATCTGAAGCAAGAGCATTCATTTTTCATGCTTAATATGTGTTCTATGTACAAGATGTGCACTTTTACTGAAACTGAGCCTGTAATGTGTACTTTTCTGTGTTCTTCCACTGGTTTTGCATTCTAGTCTTTCCTTCTAGGAATAAGTTGTTTCATAAATCATAGTCTTTATGCTCATGTTTCAGTTTGTAATTGTATTGCTTAAAATTTCTTGAAAATGCTCTTATATCATGAAGAGATATGCATGCTTGTGATATATCCCACATGTGGTATATTTTATCACTGCACTTATCAATTTTGTCTTTGCTTTCAGGAAGAACCAAAAAACCTCGACCAAAGCTTCAATTTGATCCTGCCCACAATAAGCCTCCTGCAAGTCCACTGTGAGTATTACAGGTCTATTTTTTTATATTTCTGTAATTATCACCAAAAAAATAAAATTTGTTTGATTTCTTTCTTCATTGTACATTTTGACTTAAGATGTGGAGTCCGAAATTTCTGTCTAGATAATTTTAAGCCAATACTTTCTGAGTACAACTACATTGGTGTATATGTGTGCCTATGTTTACTAGTATGTGCCAACATATGGGGGCATATGGGATTTGTTGTTCTAAGTTATTGCATTTGTCAGTGCCATTTTTAACAATGTTTTACCTCAAAATTTATTTCATTTTCCTTCTTCCTCTTTCTTAATAATGTTGAGACAAAAAAATTCTTTATTGGTGCACACCATCTGACGAAGTCTGAATCATTCCAGCCCTCCCAGAGATTTGGATTCAAAGGCCACTATAACAATTGATGACAAATCCTTTGTATGTGAAGCTGATGACTTAGAGGCGATAGTTGAACTAGGACGAGGTGCCTATGGCGTGGTGGAGAAAATGCGACACAGACCCAGTGACACAATTATGGCAGTCAAGGTATTTGTGAATAGATATATAGTTAACTTGTAGTGCAAGTAATAACACCAGTAGACATCTTTCTAGGACAGAAAATTATAATCATGGTAAGGATTTTCAGATGACCTTGACATCATTTTGCATACATTTGACAGAAAACTTAGCTTCACATTTCATCCACAAAAACATTTTTATGGATATATGCATTGACATTTCTCTGTTCAACTTTTAGCAGTTTTTTCATTTTTAAATGTGCCAGTTATTTGATATGTCTGTATATAACTAGACTAAGCATTATGTACAAACTTGTAACTTTGTATGTAAGCACTGACTAAAAGAGTGTACATTCCCAGCTGAAGCACCAAATTTGCCTATTAGGTCGTTATCCTAGAAATTCCTCAACTGCAGGTATAATAAGCTATGACCTTTTCCTGCTTATGTTTGCTACTGCTACTGGTATTCCCAGACCTGAACTGGGATCCACATCTCATAACCTGGTTCTTTTATGTCATTAATGATTTCCTTTTCTTCCCCCGCCCACTCTCTCTCTCTCGTTTATTTGGTTGTTCTTTTGTTTGTTTGTTAAAGTTTTTGATTAGATTTTTTCTGTTCATGCAATTACTCTGACTGATTTCTTCTAATTTTAGAATGCACATTTTGCTGTTGCTTCATGTAGATCTCGTTACACAGTTGCAGCTGATGACAAAACTACAGGATGTATCTGTCTAATAATAATAATAATAATAATAATAATAATAATAATAATAATGTAGTATATGAATTTACCTTCCAGAGGATACCATGCACATTAAACAGTCAGGAACAGAAGCGACTGTTGATGGATTTAGATGTAGCTATGAGAAGTGGGTCCTGTCCATATACAGTGCATTTTTATGGGGCATTATTCCGAGAGGTGAGGTTATTGAAATGTCTGTTTCTTACAATATGAAAACCTTATGCCTTTCCCTACTGTGTAGTATGAAGTCAGTGATAATTTCACTCCCTCAGGATAGAATTCTAGTCTATGGCAGGTTATGTCCCATTTGATGTACAGTGTCTTATCCAAGGCCTCAATAATACTTGATTGCAAGGTGGTTGAACCCAATGCTCAGTGCTCTGTTCTGGGAGTGAGATGATCTTTTCAGTGTGTTGTTTCCAATTGATTTATTTATTATTATTATTATTTTTTTTTACAAAAAGTATGCAGACATTGACAATATCAGCATATATGATTGTTCAGAATGTTGGTTGAAATTCTATTATTACTCATTTTCTAGGGTGATGTATGGATATGTATGGAGGTGATGGACCTATCTCTAGACAAATTCTACAAGAAAGTTTTTAATCTTGGGAGAACTATACCCGAGGAAGTCCTAGGGAAAATTGCAATATCTGTAAGTACTGTGTGGTAATGCAGTGAAGGTGCTTTACATTTAATGCCAAGAAACCTAGAATTTTTTTTCTGAAAGAGGGTTTTCTTGTGTAAAATTGCAAGCTCAGTATTAAAAAATGTTAAATTTTGACAATGATTTTTTCAAACACAATTGTTTTTATTGGATTCATAAAAAGTTTATTTATAGCTCATTATCATACAATAAGTTGTTATTTATAGCTCATTATTATACTGATTAAGATGCAAGTTATGTGAGATTTTTTGAAAGTTTGTGATCTTATCATTTCATTGCATAAAATAAGACAATATTTTACATCTTGACTACACAGATGACATTTTTCATTATTACATGTTTTAAAGTTGTCATGTTTTTCCCTCCATCAGGTAGTGAATGCTTTGAGCTACTTACAAGTGGAGCTAAAAGTAATCCACAGAGATGTAAAACCCTCAAACATTCTCATCAATGCCTCTGGTGTGGTGAAGATTTGTGATTTTGGCATCAGTGGCCATCTTGTAGACTCTGTAGCCAAGACATTAGACGCGGGCTGTAAACCATATATGGCTGTAAGTTGTTGTTTTATTTTCTCTCCTGACTTTAAACGTGGGGTGTGATCATTAAGGAATTCCTTGTTTACTGGGGGGTTTATTTTGACCAGCAACCTGTGGCATTTGTCACTGGTTTAAGGCAGTTGACCAGTAAATTTGATGCTGGGGTTGAAATAGACCTGTTTTACAATACAACTTAAAGGAAAATTTGGTCTTAAGAGTGCAATGAATTGGATCGAAGATGATCAACTTGCATTTCTCAAAAAATTCTGAAGGACCACTTCTCCCATTTGTGGTTTTTTTACTGAGTCCTTAGAGCAAATTACATTTTCATGACAACGGGTTTTTCATGTCACTAGTGACAGTAGTTTATTTAGCTGTGTCAGCTACATACATTTATTCTGAGTCAGTTATTGATGAAATGTTCTCATGTCAGTATCACAGAATGGTCTGTGTATTCAGCAAATACAACTTAAGCAGTCTAAGCTAAGCCGAAATTTCAGGACTCTGTGAGACAGACACCTAAGACTTACTAGTCTGAGTGACCAGTGGACTGAAAATTTTAAGGCACAAACTTAACATGTATTACATTTTGATACTTAAAATTTCTAGACTAATTTTACTGTTTCCTAAATGCTAAGAGTATTTTTTGACAATGTTTCCTTCATGTGGGAAAATTGCCTAAAAGATAAAAATTGTGAAATTATGCAAGCTTAAAGTTGGACATAGTAGAGTATGCAGTTGCTGTTTTCATTATTATACTTTTAATGTTGAGTGTGTATGTAAAAGTTGAATTTCAAACTTTAATTTTAAAAAGCTTCATGCATTAAATTACAGTTTTTGGTCATTGAAGACAAAATCAAAATAACCATAACCTTGAAAAAGGGCAGCATTTCAAATATTATATATATTATTATATTATTATATTATATTATATATATTTTATATATTTTAGCCTGAGCGTATCAACCCTGGAAAGGGCCAGAAAGGTTATGATATTAAATCAGATGTGTGGAGTTTAGGGATTACAATGGTAAGTATGACTGCTTTCATGAGTGTTTTGTTAGAGATTATTCAAATTGCCAGCCAGTCAGAAAAACCTGTATGGTGTATTTTTCAGTTAAAAGTTTGTACATGCTTTTAGATGACTGTCAAGAAGGCAGTTTTAATTCGGACAAGACATATGGTCAAAAAACCTAAAGCAGATAAATTTTTTAAAGCTTCAGTTTTTTCCTAATATTTCACTGAGACTTGAGTTAAATATGAAGCGAGCATAGATTCCCTGTAATGTGTATAAACCACTTCATGTGACTCATATAAAGTCATCATACCAAAGGATAAACCAAATTAATCATATGGTCAGCAAAAATAGCTTTAAAATGGCACCTTCTTCAAATTTTGGATTGTAAACTTGACCCATTCATACGTTCCTCTGGTTCGTGAAAGTCCACCAAATGATGTTTTAATGTATGATGCATAACTGCTGTGTGTGCAATAGCATAAATATTCAAATATTCAAAACATTTGGGAGTTATGCTCAGAAAGAATGCATAAAATATCTGATCGAATTACGTTTTTTGGTAAGTATAAGACAATACCCTTTGGTACTTCTTTAAGTTATTTGCTATTTGAAACTATACTGACAGTGGAATTTGGTGGGGTTTAGTGGCAAAGATTTGACTTCATATATAACTTTTAGTGAGCCTTGAAAAATTCACTCTAAGCAAAAATATACTTTATAATTTCAGATTGAAATTGCTACAGGCAAGTTTCCATATGCTCAGTGGGCAACCCCATTTGAGCAACTCAAGCAGGTTGTTAAGGATGACCCTCCAAAACTACCAGAAGGTGCCTTTTCTCCAGGATTTGATGATTTTATAGTTCAGTGGTAAGTAAAAATAGTTCATTGGTGACTAATTGTGATATATACTAAATTTTAATTTGTGTTCGAAGATATAACTAAAAATGGAGATTTTCGAGTGTCAAAAGTTTCGGAAATGGCTGTAGGATTAAAAACTTTTATTTCAATATTTTTCTTTATTTTCAGTCTTCGTAAAGACCCTGCAGAGAGACCAAATTACCAGAAATTACTGGAGCATCCATTCATTGTGGAGCATACAGCTAAAGAGTATGATGCTGGGCCTTTTGTTAGTGAAATCATTAACATGCCTCCTCCTCAACAACCTTACAAATAACGGGAATTCTGACCCACCCAGTAGCCCAGTTTCTCCATAGGAAAGAAGGATTAGTACTTGTACAAACTCTTCTCTCTCAGAAATAAAGGTGGTGCAGTTTAAAAGAGATTTCTTCAGAGGACAATTCTGATCTCACACACATGGTGAAACGTTGGACAGAGGATAAGTATTCGAATTGCCATTTGGGAACTTATAAAAACAGACCACTTGATAAGGAAAAAACTTGCATGATGTTTGACTTGAGTAGATATCTGTAATAATTAAGAACAAGTGTAAATGTGGGATTATCCACAGGTTTCTGTACTGCATCACACTGGTTTGTCATTCAGCCAAAGCCCAGTGTCTGTGATAGGACTTCAGAAACTGAGTTATCACAAAGTTTTTCCTGGTGTTGCCCCATAAATGGGGTTTATGAGGTCACTTCCTTTTAGGCCACTACCTGCAAGGAAGCAATTTTTCTGGGGTAACTTCCAATAAAAGGTTACTTTTTATGAGGTCACGTCAAGTAAACAAGATGAAGAGCTGCCGCAGTGAGGGGATTATTTTTACTTTTGTGAAGTGTCTTGTGTGAAAAGATGTGATTTTAGTATATCAATAGCTATATGAATGCCAGTGTGGAGGAAGAAAGCTTGTGCTTCAACAAGCTGGTAAATAATGTTGTGATTTTGAAAAGACCAAATGCTGTTATTAAAAAAAATTATGAAAAAAATAGTGTAGCTTGTATGTTAGATTCAGTGTAAATCAAGTCAGGGAATTGGTCAGGTGTAAAATTCACTATAGATAGCAATAAAAAGCTGCTCTGTGTCCAGCAAGTGCATAGTGACCATCACAACCTGCATTCAGGACACTGCTCAGTTACATTTGATCATTTACGTTAAAACTATATAAGAGGCATGAAGTACTGTCATAATTGAAAGTTAATATCAAAAACTTTCAATTATTGAAACTGATTCATTTTATTTCATTTTGACCCAAGCAATTGACCAGGTTCTTGCTGGCTTTGGAGGTAGATGATGTAATGCACTTAGCCCAAACTGGCTAGCTGGACACTAATATGGTAGTTTTGTAGTGTGACAAAATGCCAAAAGCCCTTAGTGCAAGAACAATGACAAGAGTTGAGTGGTTTGAAATTAAGGTTATTAATTATTATTATTAAGATTTGGGATATGCTTTGAAGCTGTCACCATGTGTAAAATATGGATTTGAGTGAAAGAATTTGGTAACAATGATAGCCTTTGATTCTATCTAAAAGATGTGTAGAAGAATTGTCACATGACAGGACTTCATATTTGCTGGGAAATTGGGCAATATACAAAACCAGCTTGGTAATACAAAGACTGCCAGTGTCCAAGCCTATGATGAAGGGTCAAAAGTTATGTGAACAATTGTTTCTGTCACTGACAGCAAATTGTTAGCTCTCTTGCAGCTAAAACACCTTCAGTGTCAGTATTTATTTTCATTAATGAATCTGCCAGATATATCTGCAGATAGATTTTCACCACCATCACTTCTACCATATAGTACTATTTACTTAATTGCAATTTTGTGGAAAGCTTTTTAGTTAATGTCACAATTTGCATTTATGACTATCCAGACACCTGTCAGCTAACCATGGAGATATTTTGTATGCTGTGGTCCAATGCATAAATGTGTGAATTGTTCTGTGGAATTTGAGATTAAATTATGTGAAAGGGAAAGATTAAACTGTTGTACTTGCAGGACCTGCCTCAGATAGAAGTGATTCAATATTTTGTATCATAATTATTATCATTACATAGTTTATAGCACTTAACTACAGTTTGAGAGACAGATGTGTTATGATATTTTATGTCAGATGCAAGCTATATTATATCATTATATTTATTCTTTGAAAAGGACAAGGGAATAAATACAGTAGTTGACAACAATTTGATCGTAAATTTTGTTTTTTAGTCAACATTTGACTGGCATAGGTCACATTATTAAGCAATGTAAATGTTGGCCTTGCTAGCAAATGAGTGTCTAAGAAAGAGTTGTGTGAGGAATTTTTACAGTTTTAGACATCTTAATATTAAAAGTTTAACATCGAGCCTTTTTTCCTGAACAAAAAATAAATAAAATAAATAAATAAAGTTTTAAAAAATAATAAGAAGAAAGAGAGAGAGAAATAAATAAAGAAAAAGTGGCTTTTTTTCATTCAGAAATATTATAAACAACCCATAAAAACGCTTCGAGAGAGCAGCTCAAATTCTCTTTTATAGATCACCATTTAAATCAAATAGCTTCCAAATTATCCTACCTCTGACCTGGCCTAGTAATTTTATTATTATCTGCCCGTGAATTGTTAAATAATACAGCTAGGCAACAAATCGACAAAAGTAAGAACGTGAAGTTGGAGGAGGGAATTCTGACATCATTGTTGCCACAATCGAGGATTCTTTATTACAAGCACCTGTCTTGGTATCTTTTCTAACCTTGACCTATATTCGTGTAGGAACCAATCCCGTACAGCAACGTAGTGTTACTGCGGAGACGTTTCAAAATGGTGGACGCAATGCGGAAGCACGCGTCTTTTCTTGTGATTTTACAGATTTATATAAAACTGGCAATCTCTCAGAGTCAAGGCGCATTTCAGTTAAATGCAGACCATGTGTTAGATGCGTTAGACGGAATTCAGGACTTCCTCGAGGGAAAGGGAGAAAACTGTAAGTTCACTTGTCCAAGAGGTAAGTTTGAGGGTGATCTGTGTTGTTGCGGTTGGTTGTTATTATATTAATATTGATAATTACTGTTATATGTTATGTCACCAGGACTCACACAAGACAATATTACAAATTATGACATATGCACTTTAGACGGATAGGTCTAATATAAACAAATATATCCAAGAACATCCGTATTTAATTTATTTAATGATGTCTCTGCCATTCTTGGCTGCCACAGTGATCGGTTAACTTAAAGGG